ATGGTTAGGGGTGTAAATCACATCCATCATGGCGATTTGATTCAGTATCAATTTCCTGACCCAACTATTCGATTATTTTCGATACTCAGGAATACACCAGGATACAATGCGATTAATTGGTTAATTTTTTTTTACCTTATAGGCTAGACAGTGTTTTAATGAAAGCTGTAATATCGATATTTATTTGAGAAACAACAGCAAATAATAATATAGTTGTACTCTACCTAGGCCTATGAAATCCTCATTTACTTACGGAACCCGAAATACTTCCACATGAATAACTTGAATCCGCAAGGGGTGCATAAGTCTACTCCTTTTTCCTCTGCCACGTCTGTCTTGCCTTCCTCTTCTCTCACCTCGGTTATCAGAATCAGAAATACTTTAATAATCCCAGAGGGAAATTACTTTATCTCCGCCATGTCTGTCTTGCCTACTGTTTATGTGAGTGTGTGTGTAAGCATAAAGAGGTTAGTGGCTAAAGGAAGTGTGGTAGGAGAGCAAAATAGGTTTAGCGCCACCGCAGCATGGGAGCCAGAATTAAGTCCAGGAGCAAATGGATAAAAATAGACCGATGGATTGATACAAAATGATTATTATTTACACTCCTAATTATGGTTGGTAATAAGTTCTGGATAAGTTAAGCATAACTTATGCAGAAGTTACTCATAGGTTTTGCATAAGCTAGACACCACGATTTATGAGTAACTTACAAATAACGTATGTCAGCGATCCAATAACTTACCTGTAACTTAAAATTTCTCGACGTACTTATTTCGACATGTGCCAGGGTGTTTCAGCATGCTTCAGAGTGTTTTAGAGTGCTTCAGCATGCTCATATACAAAAGGTACGCATGACTTATCCAACGAATGCCAGCATTTTTGCCAGATTTTTCATACATCAGGCATACGCTGGTCTAAAATGTCAAAGTAAGACAGGGGCTTTAACACCTCTCTCAAACCATCTGTGTTCCTTGGCCAGATTATCGATGACCACCCACCCTGATGGTAAAAGAAAGTAGAATATCAATAAAACTTTGTCTTTATTGGGTTATAAAATAATTTAAATGTGACATCAATTGTACAACAGTGCAAATCATATTCCAGGTAATTAAGAAGAAAAAGGCCAATATAGAAAAATGGAATAAACTGAGTCATGTTTTGGATCCAGTCTGAGCAGTCAGACTTTGACTGTAGGTTACTTTTATTCTGATGCAGCTTTCGCCTCACTCCTGCTTCCCCGTTCTTTTCCAGAGAAGAGGGATTCTCCTTCATCCTTTCTTAGCAGCTGTGCTTCTTCAATGTTTTTCTAAGCATTAACCTGATGTCTGCTATTTGAGGCCTGCAAGGTCTTAGAGGGACTCTCCAGTCTTTGGTAATTTCTCTGACCTTCACGCTCTAACCTTGAGCTGAATCTAAAGGGATGGGCTCTACTGGGAAGATTGGCACCTGTCTGAGATTTATTATTTTCTTTGGAATAACCTTTCTGTTGAGTGATGGACTTCAGATATTTTGAAAGTGACCTTATAATCCCACCCTTTTAGTAAAGTCATGGGAGATGTCCTTTCCTCTTGGTGCTGTGTTAACATAGACCTGCACACTCCAGAGCAGCAAACTGATAAACTCCTACTTATGTAGAGCCGCTTAAACTGATTATTATCCGTTAATCAGCACATTTGATCAGCACCACTTGTCTGATACTTTCCCTCTTAAGTCCTTCGGCAGCAGCTGTTTCATAAATAATGACAATGTGGATTACGATGCATGATTTTATACGCTAGTCATACATCAAACCGGTAAAAAGAGAAGAACAAAATCAAAGCTTTGATTTTCCGAAGTCTTTATCGTTTTTATTTAAAAACAAAAAAAGAGTAATAATGAACACAGCTGGAGTCAAGGGAAGAAAAGAACAAACACTTTATTATTGTCTGTCTTACAAAACACCACAGAGTCAAACTGAAAACATAAGAAATCTGTGATCTTCAATGATCAAAAACATAATCATATGTCTTAACCTTCAAAAAAGCACTTTATATAATTAAGATTTTTTTCCTTCTCTTTCACAAAAACACAAAAACATGTTTTGTGCTCAGTGAAATTACAGAGCTAATGCAAGAGGGTGATGTGTCCAATCGATGGTAATGAGCAGAATAAAGCCGTCATGATACATGAATAAGAAAGAGATGACAAAGTTTGAGTGATCAATGACTGAGTGTTTGTTAGCCAAACCAAACAGTTACCTAACTAAATCACTTCACTAATCCAGAGCTATCAAAGATAAACTTTGATCTGAATGATTCTATTGGATTTCTCCAAGTTTCCCAGTTGGTCAGTTAAACCAGACTCATAGAGTAGCCCCAGACTGCTGTGTATTTGGGGCTATTAATGCACCTGAAAATTGCATTTCTCCATCTGAGAGGGACAGAAATGAAGCTGCTGTTATATTTTTCATATTTCTCTGTGTCAAAAACTGAATTAAGACTATCATATATCATTTTAGTCTTCAGATTTAAAAATGAAAGTTACATAGACTTATTACCCAGGTTTGCAGTTGGTTTAATTTGTCTTAATTAATATGATTTTGTCTTTTTTAAAAGGAAATTTAAATATTAAATCAGACACAGGCATTTAATAAAGCCCAAAGTCATAAATACATTAGTGACCAAGAATCTGGCTTTTCATAGCGGGGATGTATGAGTGGAAAGTTAGGTGAAAAGAAAAACTCTGATAGAAAATGTTGCAAAACTGAGAGAATCACAGTTTTCATTGGTTTGTGAAGCAAAGCCCACTTAAAGCTTAAAGAAGATTCTCAAGGTCAGACTGGAGAGGAAACCATCGCTTTTAGAGAGACCGCAGACAGTAAATCAGGAACAACTGTCACATTTTTTAACCACCATCATCCGAACCACCTCAGTGTCATAATCTTAGTGCGTGAGCATAAGATCCTTGAAAAAACAAGGATCTCTGGTGATGGATATGGCCGTCCCCTCTTGCTGGAGATTGAAGCTCTTTGATAACCACTCTTCACCTTATGGTCCGTGGTGGATCTAACTGGGATACTTTGAGAGTTTTTCTTTAACCTTTTTTAAGTTTAGTGTCCATATTTTTGTATCACCTTCCTAAAAATGTAACTCCTGTTATTTCTAAGACACACAGGCATAGGATTTCTTGTTCCTCTCTAATCTTACCCTAGAAACGAGAATTGTTTAAAGTAACCAATGAAAGCAGCTCTCTCACCTCAGTAGCCATTCCCTGCCTGCTATCTAACCTCCCCTGTACAACCTCAATCTGAGTCGCTAACCTTCGGTTTAAAGACCCTCCTGAAAGACTCAGTCACCTCCATTGAACCGCCCTCCCTAAAATGCTACCGGGATCACTCTGCATACAGCTGCTACTGAAACAACTTTAACCAAATCTTTCAATTATTTACCTGGATTAAGGTGAATTGTGGCTCCAATAATGGCTTCAGCAAGCTAGTTTGACGTCATTGTGCTCTCCTGAGCTCTCCTAAGCACAATGAGGTCAAACTAGCTTGCTGAAGCCATTATTGGAGCCACAATTCACCTTAATCCAGGTAAATAATTGAAAGATTTCGTTAAAGTTGTTTCCTGACTCCAAAGCAGTAAGTCACACGACTCACCAAGCAGGGCTGCACAAGTGATCTTTTTCAAAAGTCAAAATGGAATACAATAAAAATTAAGAGTTGTCAGTTAAAGAAAAATCTTTTCAAAAATACTAATATTAATTGTATCAGAATTAAATACAAGAAATTAAACTGTAGTGAATCAATCATTGTCTTCCCCTATAGACCGTTGGTAAACTACTTTTGAAGTTATTTCCCTCTGGTTGATCAAATTTTCCTTTTATTTTATATTACAAACAAAACACTGAACTAAATATCAAATACCACATCATTGATGCAAATGAAGAGCATTTCCATCACACTGTGCCGGACATTTCTTTTAAAGGTCAGCCTGTGGAGGAACCTAGTAAAGGAATTTAAAAAGGAAGAGTTTAGGTTAATATGAATGTAAATTCAAAACTTGATTTCATCAATAATGTCACTTTTGGGCCAGTTGGGCTAACAAAAAAACAAGGGAAACCAGAGCGTTGAAGAAAAATTAACAGAGGTGGACCAAAGTGAGGAAACACCAAACACCAGGAAACGTTCCCCTGCCTCCCTGCCAATTATTCAGGCATAAGGATGGATGGATGGATGGATGGATGGATGGATGGATGGATGGATGGATGGATGGATGGATGGATGGATGGATGGATGGATGGATGGATGGTCATGAGCTACTGCAACATTTATTTTCCCTTTGAGATTAATAAAGTATATTTGAATTGAATTTAATGGATGGATGAACAAAAGGTAACATATTTAATCAGTATATTTTCAGATTGAAATAATGATAATCAGATTTTTAAGCAACATCTTTCTCCTGATTGAATAAGAGCAAATGAACCAAATCAGACGAGTAATTAGAATAAACCTCCCTAATACATTCAGCTTTGACTGAAAATAAAACTCTGCCCACCCTTTTCTTTTCATAAGACACCCATACAGTAAATCCAGCAATGAAACAGAGAAGTAGTATTCATATTTTATATTCCCAGCAACTGATTAATGTTTCAAAAATTCAAAACAATACTAAAGTTAAATCATGTATAAGAAAAACACACCGCTACATATTCTGTTTAAGAAATAATTTCTTAGCTTTTAAGCACATGTGGCGATAAAGCTCAACAGAAAAAGAAAATCCCACCAATCTGGAGATTTTCACAGTCACCAATGTGTTTCAGTTCTCTCCGTGAGTGCAAATACAACACAGCAGACTTCTCCCTAAAGTCCTGGTCTATTATACAGAGGTAATATTACAACAGCACAGGCAATGCAATGGTGCTTATTGAATTTTACTCTCTGATGCAGTCATTTAGGTGACATGATTTCATTTTCCAGGTTTCACATAAAAATAATGGAAACTCGTTTTAAAAATGTATAGACTTCCTTTTTAAGAGTTTTAATAAAAAGAATCTGACAGATGTATGCAGTTCCAACCTGCATTTCATTGTTTCCATTTGACTTTAAAATAAATCTAAAATGCTGAGTCATGCAAACTGTTACTAAGATATACAAGCAAACATTTCTGCAAGAACACCCATTGCATCTGTCAACTTGATTTAGGAAAAGATCAGAACATTTGTAAGAACTTGACAAATGGATCAAAGCAAAGGGAATTGTGACGTTGGGCTGAAGGGTAGTGCCAGTCTTCATTCAGTGTTTTTAGTGTTGGTTTGAAGTAAAATAAAACTAGAATGATAAAAACAGAAACTCAGCATAGCATGCCATCAAAAGTACCAAAAGGGTAGAATCCAAAGGGCTTAAAGAAAAAAAAAGAAAAAAGATTTTCAGGTTGGGCTGGGGTTGAGTTGGAATGATGTGAAACGTTACAATAAATTATCAGGTGAAACAGCAGAATGGTCAGAGGTCAACAATCACGCTTAGTGCCGTTTACTCAGAGCTCATGTGATGCACGGAAGAGGATGAGTGGAAATTAGAGCGTGCCCATCCCAGTGACTTCAGACGTCAGCCTGAGAACGATTAAAAAGAAAAGGGGGAGGGGTAAGGAGGTGGAGGACAGAAATAAATAAAGTGTGAAAAGGTAACTTTCGCTGAAGAGTGAAAGTTATTCTTCAATGGCTGTCTGGAATCTGCTGGTATGAACAAACTGGACGTTATATCTAATGAGGTCATGCATCGATTGGAGAAGGAAAAGCTGCTGTACAAGAAAGAAGCATCACATCAATCTCATTTCTAACAGCATTAAATCACTGTTTCTGCCCTTTTTTCTTAACTTTTTGATTTTACTTTTTTTAATTGTATTTTTTTCTTTAGTATTTGAATACAATGAAACGGTAAGTTTACCTATGATAGAACTGACCCACAGAAAATACCTTCTTGACTCCTACATGCTAAGCAAAGAAAATATACTTTGACATTTTCAAAAACACATTTATCTGCACAGTTTTCACCAAGATTTCAGCAAGCAAAAGAAACCTGAAGGAGAAAGATTTCGTAATTGATCACAAAAATAAACAAAGGGAACATTTTGTATCTTTTGAATGTCACACACTGCCTGCCTAAAACCAATTCAATAATGAGGTAAGAGACTCTTATTGGATAGTAATACTTGTGCTCGGCATCCTCTGCTTTATGTGGGACTGGGTTGCAGAGACAGAAGTCTCAGCAAATACCTCCTCCCAACTTTTCTTTGCTCAGACACTACCAGCTACAGTTTCTCAACTGTGTACTGGGTCATCTCCTGTACCTCCTCCCAGTGTCATGTGCTTGAAGTCCCAAATGGGACATCCAGGAGGTATCTGAAAACATATTTGACTAAATCAACTTTAGATAATGCTTTCGATATGGCGGAACAGTGTCTCTATGCCGAGCTTCCTTGGAAGGCCAGGCCCTTCGCCATATCTCTAAACCTTCATTACATAAAGGATGTTCTGTCAATCATCTTGATTGAAGTACAACGGAAAAGGATTTTTAAAGAATTTATTTATAATTGATGAAGGAAAACGTATTTGATCACCCACACACAACCAAGATATCTGCCCGACAGACATGTGACTTCTTCTGTAAGAAGCTCTTCTGTTCTGCTCTCATAACAGTATTAATGGCACCTGCCCTCAGCTTCAAAAAGTCAGACTCCAAGCTCAAACATGGGGAAGACTAAAGAGCTGTCAAAGGACAGAAAATTGCAGACCTGCATCAGGCTGGAAGAGTGAATCTACAACAAGCTAGCAGGTCCTTGTGAAAAAAAAAAAAAAAAAACTGTGCAATCTATTGGAAGAAAATGGAAGACACAACCATTGATAATCTCCCTCGATCTGGATCTCTACACAAGATCTCATCCTCTGGGCTCAAAATGATCATGAGAAAAGTGAACAAAAATCCCTGAACTACAGGGAGAGACCTGATGAATGACCTGCAGAGAGCTGGGATCAAAGTAACAAAGACTGCCATCAGTAATGCACTACTCAGAGAGAGGCTCAAATCCTTCAGTGCCTGGCGTGTCTTCCTGCGTTAGCCAGTACATGTCAAGGCCCGTCTGAGGATTGCTAGAGAGCATATGGATGATCTAGAAGAGGATTGAGAGGATATCATGTGGTCAAATGACATAAAAATGTTGGCACAAACTTAACTAGTCGTGTTTGGGGGACAAGAATGCTGAGTTGCATCCCAAGAAAACCATAGCTATTGGGAAGGATGGGAGTTGAAAAGATCAAGCTTTGAGGCTGTTTTTCTGCAAAGGGGACAGAGCGACTGATTTGTGTTGTGTGATTTTAAGTCAAAAACTCCTTCCATCTAGTGATTGAATGTGACAGGGTCTTCCAGCAAAGCAATGATCCAAAACACACAGCAGTGAAAGAGCAACTCTATATAAAACATTTTAAGCTCCAGGCATGGCCTAGCCCGTCTCAGGACCTCAAGTCTGGAAAATCTGTGCTGCCCAGTCACAACGGCAAATAAACCAATGCCCTAGAACAGATCTGCATGAAGGGATGAGCCAAAATACAAGCTAGAGTGTGCGAAACCCTAGTTAAAACTTATAGGAAACATTTGACCTATGTCAGTGCTAACAAAAGTAATACTTAAAAGGATTGCGTTGCCCTCTTGGTATTGGCTAAATACATATTTTCCACCATTATTTACAAATAAATTCCTTAAAATCCTACACTATAATTATTCTGGATTTTTTTTTGTCTTTAATTTCTCTCTCTTGTTGAGGAGTAACCATAATGAAAACGACAGAGCTCTCATTTTTCTAAGTAGTAGAACTTGCGCAATCAGAGCAAGACTAGATAGTTGTACGATTGAATTACTACCCAACAATACAGCAGTTACAAGGAGCTCTCTTGCCACACATTGGTTCAATAAGTTCCTGTATTATTGCAGGAACTTATTGAACCAGTGCCACAGCCAATGCAAGCACCTATTAAAGCTAAATGCAGGTCAATCAAACCTCCAACCATGTGACTTTTTTGGACAGACATTGTATTTTGCAATGAAAACATTTTTAGGGCACATAAACTAATATGTTTATGATTCTTCTATATCGTGGAGGCTAACCCATGCTAAGCTAATAAGGACTTTAGTTGGAGATGTCTTTTTTTCATATGTTTATCTTCTTTCAAACACTCAATAAGCAAGTTTCTCAGAATGTCAAAGTATTGTTACATCAATACACAGGAAACAGGTTTTGACAAAGTACTTTTATGGTTCGAAGCTAATAATGGATTTTTGAATAAAGGTGAAACTGTAAGAGCCAGATTGTGGCTGCCTTCAGGATGTAGTCATGGACGAGGGGTCATTCCACATGGCGGCCACGTCCCTGAACCTGCCGTTGGAGTTGTGAGAAAGCACGTTAGAACCTGGATGGAGAAATCTTTGTAAAGAAGTCAAAAACACAAAGCTCTGCTTACTGAGACTGTAAATTGTCTTTAGGTAAGGCTAATTAGCAGTTGAATTATCTTCTAAATTATATTTGCTACTTAACTACCCCTCAAAAACTTTTTTTACTGTTGTGTATGTAACTTTTCAAACTCAGAAGGGAGCGGAACATGTCACTATTTCTTTTTAATTTGTTAATTCATGAAGGTGAAGGTTTTGCTTCAAGCATCAGCTTGTCTTTGCAGCTGGCATGACTCCATGAAGACTTAATAATAACAAACCCGTATACAGCAAATTCTCTAATTTACATTTTCACACTTGGTTAAAACCAGAGGTGAGAAACTCTTTATCGAAGGACTTCATGGGACGACGGCAGAATCACTGAGATAAAGAATTAGAGGCAGGAATCAAATCGAGAATACTTGATGTATTTGTGTGTCAAGAAAAAAAAAATACATAAAAACAAATCTCTACTTAAAAGGCAACATTTTCTGCAGACATTGCTTTTATATTTCATGCTAAACTGGAGTCCAGCTGTTAAGGTTGAAACGTTACCTGGCATTGATGAGATACTGAGCCAGGCTGATGTTAGCAGGGGTCCCTGTGATGGTTATCTGCCGCTCTGATGAGCCCTCCATGGCATTCGCAATTTTGATCTGCGCCCCAGACATCTGTCGAATCTCATTTATTTTGGTTCCCTGGCGTCCAATAATACAGCCTATTAGCTGTGAAAGGGAAAAAAGTGGCCTATGAGTCAGAAGAAAAATCTTCTTGCTGTCTTACAGCGTTTAGACTTAATTATTGATACGTTTAATGAAAAAGGAAGTTTAATGGGTTATGTAATGATCCGATTTTAATTTAAAAATGGAGGAAATTAGGGTTGAATAATGAGGACTTGGTCAGAAGGTTGTCTAATGGGGGAAATTTTGCTTTGTGCTGTCACGATTGAAGGAATTCATGTTTAAAGGGTTTGTTTTGTCTTTATAATTCAAAGAAGGCTGAGAAGCAAGTATATATTACTACAAAAGAAAAATAAATCTTGATCTTGTACCTATCTTCTTGATTCCAGTTTTCATATGTAGACCGATGCTGCACGATGTCAGAAAATCCAATAACAAAGCTTCTTATAAGTCATAGATACAAATATCTTTAAAACATTTCTTATATAAAGATAACATAAACTTTCTCTTTATGTTTTGTATAATTTCCAATTTGTTATAAAAGCAAAGGGTTTTCAGATCTAAGACCAAAGATGATTTGTTGATACTCAAGTTGATACTCAAAGTCAGTGGTTTATGTGTATTTCTTGGATGCAGAGAGATTTTAAGTCTTCAGCTCAACAAATACACTCTGAATATGCTACTTTGGCTCCAACTTTTGCTTGAGATGGAAACTATATATGTATATACAGGTGCTGGTCATAAAATTAGAATATCATGAAAAAGTAGATTGATTTCAGTAATTCCATTTAAAAAGTGAAACTTGTATATTATATTCATACATTACATACAAACTCATATATTTCAGATGTTTATTTTGTTTAATTTTGATGATTACAAATGACAACAAATGAAAATCTCAAATTCATCATATCGGAAAATTAGAATATTGTGAAAAGGTTCAAAATTGATGGCCCCTGGTGCCACACTCTAATCAGCTAATTAACTCAAACCACCTGCAAAAGCCTTTAAATGGTCTTTCAGTCTAGTTCTATAGGCTACACAATCATGGGGAAGACTGCTGACTTGACAGTTGTCCAAAAGACGACCATCGACACCTTGCACAAGGAGGGCAAGACACAAAAGGTCATCGCTAAAGAGGCTGGCTGTTCACAGAGCTCAGTGTCCAAGCACATTAATAGAGAGGCGAAGGGAAGGAAAAGATGTGGTCGAAAAAAGTGTACAAGCAAGAGAGATAACCGCACCCTGGAGAGGATTGTGAAACAAAACCCATTCAAAAATGTGGGGGAGATTCACAAAGAGTGGACTGCAGCTGGAGTGAGTGCTTCAAGAACCACCACACACAGACGTATGAAAGACATGGGTTTCTGCTGTCGCATTCCTTGTGTCAAGCCACTCTTGAACCACAGACAGCGTCAGAAGCGTCTTGCCTGGGCTAAAGAGAAACAGGACTGGACTGCTGGTGAGTGGTCCAAAGTCATGTTCTCTGATGAAAGTAAATTTTGCATTTCCTCTGGAAATCAAGGTCCCAGAGTCTGGAGGAAAAGAAGAGAGGCACTTTATCCACGTTGCTTGAAGTCCAGTGTAAAGTTTCCACAGTCAGTGATGGTTTGGGGTGCCATGTCATCTGCTGGTGTTGGTCCATTGTGTTTTCTGAGGTCCAGGGTCAACGCAGCCACATACCAGGAAGTTTTAGAGCACTTCATGCTTCCTGCAGCTGACCAACTTTTTGGAGATGCAGATTTCATTTTCCAACAGGACTTGGCACCTGCACACAGTGCCAAAGCTACCAGTACCTGGTTGAAGGACCATGGTATCCCTGTTCTTAATTGGCCAGCAAACTCTCCTGACCTTAACCCCATAGAAAATCTATGGGGTATTGTGAAGAAGAAGATGCAATACACCAGACCCAACAATTCAGAAGAGCTAAAAGCCACTATTAGAGCAACCTGGGCTATCATAACACCTGAGCAGTGCCACAGACTGATCGATTCCATGCCACGCCGCATTGCTGCAGTAATACAGGCCAAAGGAGGCCCAACTAAATACTGAGTGCTGTACATGCTCATACTTTTCATGTTCATACTTTTCAGTTGGCCAACATTTCTATAAATCCTTTGTTTTTATTGGTCTTCAGTAATATTCTAATTTTCTGATATGATGAATTTGAGATTTTCATTTGTTGTCATTTGTAATCATCAAAATTAAACAAAATAAACATCTGAAATATATGAGTTTGTATGTAATGTATGAATATAATATACAAGTTTCACTTTTTAAATGGAATTACTGAAATCAATCTACTTTTTCATGATATTCTAATTTTATGACCAGCACCTGTATATACTGTATATACATACATATATATATATATATATATATATATATATATATATATATATATATATATATATATATATATATATATATATATATATATATATAAATAAACACACAAGGTATTGTTGTGTTATGCTTAAAAAAATGTGGTGAAGACATCTGGTTGGGCTGTTGTCCAACATATTGTCACTGATGGCTGCTGCAAAGAAAATAAGCTAAAGATTAGGTTTGGTGATATTGGAAGTAGTGGCTCCTCTACGAGTATACTGGTGGAAATTGGGGAAAGAAAAGAAAAAGCATGTGAAACAAAAAAAGTAATAATCTAGAAGTGGAAGTCAACGCTTTATCTTGGGTTAGGGGGGAATCCAAAAGGTTAGTGGCTTACATAGACACATATGAATGTCAGTATGACACAAAATATTGAAAACTAGAGTAATACATGATAATAAAGCTTCAAGAACACAGCTTTTTAAATGGATGTTCCAATTTATTGGACATAAGTGTCAAAAGTACTTCTTTATAGTTTAAGTAAATAACCTAAAATCAAAATATAGAGGAAGTGAGTTTAAAAAAATGGATGTGGGCTATCCATGCAAACATGATGGTGTGTTATAATATTTGAGAATTTGTTAAAGTAGCCGCTATTATGTTTTGTTAAAACAATGTCTACACGTTTTCTGTTCTTCATTACTGTTGGGGTAAAAACAAGTTTTATATGTTTCTCATATATGCATGTCCTTTCAATAATATTATTACAGATTAACATTGTTAAGCTCCAGCAGATTCTTGTTTTTAATTTAAGCACAGAAATGGATTGATCTCTAAACATCTTTCCAGTAATACTCACATCATTAGGAATGGTGAGTTCATGAGTACTGGCTGGTGGACTGGCATCCAGACCTAAAACAAGGTAAAAGAGTTTATAAACGCTTTGAGTTTTAAATGTAAAAACAATATCAAAGTTAGATTAGCAATTAGGTTTGACTCCTATGTTAACTGATAAAACCTGAGCCACCCCAATTTGATAAAAAGCATTGTAATAAACAACATAAAGGCAGAAAAAACAAACATATTTGTATACAAGCTTATAAAAATAGTAAAGATAAGATATATTTGATCAGGGTTGCCAACTTTCAACTGGTTCTTGAAGTGATACATTTGGCTGAAGGGGGATGAGAGGGCAACAGAAAAGTCCCTCTTTACCCTGCTTGTGGTGAAGCATTACCAAGTTATGCCATATCTGCAGCAGAGATTGGCCTAGATCAACAAGTGGCTCCTCCCAGATAGTTGACTTTCACTGTAAAATGGCTATGAGAATACACCCTAGAACTACTCTCGCCATCTTTGATAAACCCAACAGAGCAATGTCCTTCTCATACAGGAGGTCTAAACCACTAAGGAAAAGATTTTGTCCTGAGTAAATAGGAATGGTTCTCTCCTGCAGACATCTTACGGAAAAACTCCAAAACAATCTCTTGTTCTTCTGGTAACCAGAACCAGTCTGTAAAGATTAGAGGAAGTGCACTTCCTTTTATACTAATTAAAAGCCCCTCCATGTCTTACACCCATCTCTCGGCAAGCATAATTTTAATAATAATTTTTGTATGTAAAATATGGATTGTTTCAGCTGCCTGGGAAGATCCACTTTAATGTTATCAGAGAAGTGACACAAAACCCTGCAAATGGCAGCTGTATTGTCCTTTAGATCATTATAGGGCTGTAAGACAGCTGCACATAACTCACATCTTAAAGCAAGGACACTGGAAAATGCTATCAGGTCTTTTATTTTCTGCCCAGTGATATTTAAGATCCTACTGGTGAAGAGGCCTATCTATCAAACAAGATAGTAACTCAGAGCTGCCACAGTGTTGATGACCAATCAATGAGAGTCCTATGTAAAAACAGTGTTCCTAAGTAGGGTTGCCAACTCAACAAACACTTCTTAGCCAGGCATTGTCTTTCACCCTAATACATTTGTTTTTGCCCATTCTTGTGTGTGTAAATTTAAATCAAACCTGATTTATATTAGACACCTAATTTTGTTTCTTTAAAAATGACAGATCCTCTTTAAGGGACAGCAACCCTGGATCATCTGGTTTAAAAATATTACTAAGAATTGTTTTTGAATCTGCCAAACAAAGACTCAAGCATCAAAGCATCTGATTTAGATGCTACGTCTACTTGGTATGGTGTTGAGAGGTCCAGCACCGCGTCCGAGCATCGGAAGCAGAGCATCTGAGCGTTTGGCCATCCGAGGGTTCGTTGCAGGATTTCAAAAAATGTAACTTTTGCCATTGGACCGTGACATATCAACCAAACAGAGAAGCTAGTTCCAGGAGTTTCTTGGAGGAGACAGACACTACATGCAAGCTGTTATCACTTCTGCAGAGCTGTCTGCATATGAAAAATAAATAAATAAATATATAGGGGTGCCTTGCAGCACAAAGGTTCCGAGTTCGATTCCCTATCCTGGGTCTTTCTGCAAGGAGTTTGCATGTTCTAACAGATCATGCGTGGGTTCTCTCGGGGTACTACGACGTCTCCGTACAGTCCAAAAACATGTCTGGTAGGCTAATTGGCTTCTCTAAATTCTCCTTAGGTGTGAGTGTGTCCTTGAATGGTTGTTTGTCATGTTTGTCACTGTGTTGCCCTGCGATGGACTGGCGACCTGTCCAGGGTATACCCTGCCTCTCGCCCATAGATAGCTGGGTGATTCTCTGAATTCAGTGCACTTTGTGTCCCCAAAGGTTTACCTCAAAGATTTTCATATAAGGTAAACAATAAAGAGAATTTAAAAAGAACAAATGGAAAGATCCACGTGTCTCTGCTTTATAACACACATCTATATCCTAAAATTTAAATTTTTAAAGATTTTATGGGCTGCAGAAGATCAGAGGTAAGTGAGATGAGCATGTCCCCTCGCACCTAAAGTACTTTTTCACTGAATGTAAAACAAATAAAATAGCTAGAATAATCTAATTTTTTTCTGCTAAAATTATTATTTGCATGTTTACTCAAAGCTGAATAAAAGAAATATGAGAAAAATAAACAAATTATTGACAAAGTAGCACTATTTGATCATGTCCCTCAGTTTTTGTTCAACCCCGTAACGGCATACCAATGTTCCCTTTTTTAAAATATTGGTTCAGTCCAACTTCAACCACACACAGGAAGTGACATCCCTCAACTCTTTTCCCTCTCAAACTGTGAAGAGAGGTAAGTGTAAAGCTTACTTTCTCACCTAAATTTCATCGTTTTTATCAATAAATTTGCATCGTCAACCTCAACCTTTCAACACTGTTACATGTATAAATGATATTTAATATTGTTTGGGAAAAATAAAACAATTATCTTTGAAAAATACTTGAATTTCTTGTTTTCCACATGCCATAAGCTACACCATACTGCTAGCTAATGTGGACTTATAACTACTTTTGGCTTTAATCTTCAACCCTGTAACATTCAACCCCATAACAAAAAACACCGTTACGGGGTTGAATTATTGTTACGGGGTTGAAGCTTTTTCTGTTGTTAAGCAAGTTAGTCCCTTTTCTCTAAATGTTATTTCATACATTATTTTCAGATATCTGATGGCTAAATCAAATGCAGAGAGGCAAAGAGAATACAGGGTGAGAAGAAATGCAGATTCACAAAGAAGAGAAGAATACCTCAGGAAAGAGCGTGAGCGATGGAAAAAAGATAGAGAAGCGAAGAAATCAATCAGTGACCTGAGTAAGAGAGCTTGAAGACGTAAGCAGAGGGAGTGGTGGAAAGCTAAGGAGCGACAGAAAAGGAAGGCTGAGATTGAAAATGTTGGGTCTGCCTTTCTAACCCCTCCACATACTCATGAATGTGATATTCAAGACAAAGTCCAAGCCAGACCAGGGTCCTCACGGTGAGGGAAATATAGTTTGAAGTATAGTTGACTTTAATGATGATAGTTTTAGAAACACTACTTTTTACTCTGCTTTATACATGACTAATATGTTTGTTGTAGTAGTTCCTAAGAAATGAACATTTGTAACATGGAAGCTATGGTTTATTGCTTTTAGAACACACGCACACCCCCACACACACATATATATATATGTATATATACACACTCACCGGCCACTTTATTAGGTACATCTGTCCAACTACTCGTTAACACTTAATTTCTAAGCAGCCAATCAAATGGCGGCAACTCAGTGCATTTAGGCATGTAGACATGGTCAAGACAATCTTCTGCAGTTCAAACCGAGCATCAGTATGGGGAAGAAAGGTGATTTGAGTAACTTTGAACGTGGCATGATTGTTGGTGCCAGAAGGGCTGGTCTGAGTATTTCAGAAACTGCTGATCTACTGGGATTTTCACGCACAACCATCTCTAGGGTTTACAGAGAATGGTCCGAAAAAGAAAAAACATCCAGTGAGTGGCAGTTCTTTGGGCGGAAATGCCTTGTTGATGCCAGAGGTCAGAGGAGAATGGCCTGACTGGTTCGAGCTGATAGAAGGGCAACAGTGACTCAAATAACCACCCATTACAACCAAGGTGGGCAGAAGAGCATCTCTGAACGCACAGTACGTCGAACTTTGAGGCAGATGGGCTACAGCAGCAGAAGACCACACCGGGTGCCACTCCTTTCAGCTAAGAACAGGAAACTGAAGCTACAATTTGCACAAGCTCATCGAAATTGGACAATAGAAGATTGGAAAAACGTTGCCTGGTCTGATGAGTCTCGATTTCTGCTGCGACATTCGGATGGTAGGGTCAGAATTTGGCGTCTACAACATGAAAGCATGGATCCATCCTGCCTTGTATCAATGGTTCAGGCTGGTGGTGGTGGTGTCATGGTGTGGGGAATATTTTCTTGGCACTCTTTGGGCACCTTGGTACCAATTGAGCATCGTTGCAACGCCACAGCCTACCTGAGTATCGTTGCTGACCATGTCCATCCCTTTATGACCACAATGTACCCAACTTCTGATGGCTACTTTCAGCAGAATAATGCACCATGTCATAAAGCTGGAATCATCTCAGACTGGTTTCTTGAACATGACAATGAGTTCACTGTACTCAAATGGCCTCCACAGTCACCAGATCTCAATCCAATAGAGCATCTTTGGGATGTGGTGGAACGGAAGATTCGCATCATGAATGTGCAGCCGACAAATCTGCGGCAACTGTGTGATGCCATCATGTCAATATGGACCAAACTCCCTGAGGAATGCTTACAGCACCTTGTGGAATCAATGCCATGAAGAATTGAGGCAGTTCTGAAGGCAAAAGGGGGTCCAACCCGTTACTAGCATGGGGTACCTAATAAAGTGGCCGGTGAGTGTATATAGTAAGCCTTGTGGTCAGTCATTGCACCATAATTGCTATGTCTCTAGTCATGTAACTACTAATATGCAGAACTAATCATTTCTTTTCCATTTATTTTATGGTTTCATTTTAGTCATTCAGCAGGCAAGAAAGCATCCAGAAAAGCAAGAGATAAACTGTGCAAAGAAATAGAAGAACTAAAAAGGAAACTCAAACATCAGAAGAAGCTCAAAGAAAAATATAAAAAAAGACTCCAGCGAGCAACTAAGAATAAAGATTCTCCAAGATCCAAAGTTTGTCAGTTGCTGAAAAACTGTACTGTGAACAGCAAGGTGAGGAAAACTTTACTGCACCATGAAGCCATAATTTGTGACATCAGGAGGAAGTACAAGAATGCCAAATATGAAAAAGGAAAAAAAAAAAGTTGCAGAGGTGGTTGTTGGGAAGATAGTCAAGAAATACAGGCTGCAGAGTTGGTCTGAGAAAATACTGGGCTTTTCAAGGAAGCGTAGGACCTTGTGTGAAAATAAAGACCTGAGCATTGTTAAACGGATTTCAGAGAGAGATTTTGCTTACAGCATTCAGCCTATACTGTTCATCTAAATAATTTTTAGAGTATTCAATATTACATCCAAAATGTTTCTTTTCTTGTTTGTTTTAATGCATTAAATTAAATTAAAATTTGATTAAATGTTTTGTGATTCTTTCAACCCTGTTACAGTGTGAGCCACCCTGTTACAATGTGTTCAACCCTGTTACTTGATACATTTTCAGACTTTTTGTGATAATAATAAAAAATTTGAGATAAATGCTAGCTGAACTGTCTGTAAAGTTTAGAGGATAAAAGAGAAAATATATGAAAACTTAATGTGATGTTTACATTAAAGTATATTTTTGTGATTAATGAAGACTGTAGGTATATAAAGAGGCCATATCATACCTGACAGTCACAAATGATTATTTACAATGAAAAAAATCTACTTACAATTACTTATTTTATATAAGGGACAAGTGATTACTAAGGCACTGGAAGAATTAGTTTGAATATGTTTTGGGATTGTACCCACACAGAAACTCAATTGTCCCGTTACAGGGTTGAATTTAAAACAACATATGTGACAAAAAAATTGAGAATAATCTTTGGGATTGCATGCCTAAGGTGGGAAAACATATTTTTTCAGAGGTTAAAATAGTCCTAAATCAGACACCATGATCAAAAGCAACATTTTTTGTGACATTTTTTTCAGTAATCACAAGATCAAAAGTGCACCGAATTCAGAGAATCACCCAGCTGTATATCTGCCCCTATTGGCCTTGCTTAGGATAAGTGTGATGGAAAATGGATGGATGGAGGGATAAACTCCAAAGTTTAACCTGCAGACAAAAAATACTCAATTGTATATTCTGGTACTTGTAGTTTTTACCACAAACCTTAAAAACTATTTATATTCACTTCCAGTTGCCAAGAACGGCAATGGGACATTCCCTACAAACTGGACCCTTCAGAGAGCTTTCAGCTGGGGTTTCCAGTGATGCCTCCTGCCGGTATGTTGGAGGTCTGCCACTCCGAACAAGAACTGCATATTTTAGTAGGATATAATCCTGATGAACTGACTGCACAGATTTTGTTTGGAGGTGGACTTCCTCTCTTACAAAAGGTGTTAAAACTATTTCTCCAACGCATCAAAGTAAATAAAGCCAGCAGCTCTCTAACTTGCAGCTACATAATAGAGCAGATAAAAGCCAGTGCACAGCCAAAGCTTGGAAGCGTCACGGCAACTTGACCAGCGTTTGATCCAGCGTCCAAATTTCGGCACTAAGACAAACTTGATGCCCAAAACACGTTTGGTGTGAATGTCCCATCAGTCAGTTTTCTGAAGTACAATGGAAGTCTCTGCCATGCCACAGAGTCAGAGTCAATAACTGGATTGTCTTAAATAGCTAAATACCAACCCTATCGGTACAACTAGTTTCCTTGATTGGAGTGAAATATATATGAATGGAGTTAGTGGATGACAGAGACAGAGAATATTGAGACTCACACCAGGTGTGTGAGAGTTGGCAACCCTCAGTTTAGCTTTGATATTGGATCCAAAGGAAGCTAATGCTTAACCCATCTTAACACAAAGAGAAAAAAAGGACAAGCAAAAGTATAACTTAAAGATAAACTTGAATCAGAAGTTATGAAGTAGTACATCATATTTAATTATTTGATTTTACATACATTTAACATTATTTTGAGCAACTAGGAAGTATATGTTTAAAATTGTTATATTTAATTCGAGTCACTGAATCTAGTTAATGGTTATACAAAAAACTTAAAGCACAGCAGGGATGCAGTGAACAGAATTATAAACAGAAAAATAATATACAATATGAAGCTCAAACTGCTGTAGAATAAGTAAAACAGTAAAGTAAAATACTAGCAGATTTTGTTATCTCATGAGGAACTTTGATTATTTAGCAATACTTGCTATAAATCCTAGTTTGTTTCCTAACAAACTTTTTAAATTATTAACACTAAACTTGAAACAGCGGAGTCAAAAGATCCAGATCTACATCTGACTGGATAAAATGTGCTTGTTATAGTCCAGGAAAAGGCCCAATTCAAGAAAATAGTTTTTATTTTATTTTATTGTAGTGAGTTGTAGATATTTAGTAATTCAAAGTGCAATTAAATTTGTATCAAACAGTACACACAAAATGAAAAACACAACTTAATTTAGCTTTTTATTGCTTTACTCCCTGGTTTAGTACTGCCACACTTAAAATAAACAAGCTTCCCTTCACTAATCTTTAGAATACTTTGATTGGTTTATGAACTCAAAACATGAAGTAAAAGTGTAATTTGTTAAATGAGATTAACTCCATCCATCCATCCATCCATCCATCCATCCATCCATCCATCCATCCATCCATCCATCCATCCATCCATCCATCCATCCATCCATCCATCCATCCATCCATCCATCCATTAATAGACATCATTAATACCTAATAACCTTTTTCCATATTTCACAGGTGATCTATAAAAGGACTTAGAACTTTAAGTCTGAAAACCATGAAATTAGTTTAAGAAAATGTAAGAACCCTTCTTTGTTACATTCTAATACAAGTGTTTCATATGTGCAACCAAGTTGGGAGTACATTTGTGTGCAGCCTGTAATACTTACAGTTAAAAGGATTGAATCCTTCCTCCTAGACCTTACTGCAGCCTTCGACACCATCAAAGATGTGTCATTTTATTCCAACTTATATATGTTTTCCTCAGTAGCACAACCATTAATTAGCATCAGTGCCTACACACTTAGACACTAACTCCCCAAACAAATCAGTGACTGTACGTACAGACCTATCCACATTCAATCCACAGCTTGAAACTCCCCTTTTTAGTATTATATGTAATGTGTGACTTTAGTCATGCTTGACTTGTGCTTTGTTCATTTCCAGGATCATTCGTGTTAGAGTTTGCGCCATATTCTGTGTTATGGACGTATGTGCTCTGATATTATTAATTTATTATTTTATTTTTATTATTTGAATGCCACTGATATTAAACAAAAGGAGCATTATTATTGTCATTGGTAAATATCAACATTTAGGTTGAACTGTATTATTTAGTCTGTGAATTTCCACTTTTAGAGGAAAGTTAAAGTGCCTTGAAGACATGCTGGTAAATTATGCTACCTGTTGTCGGGTGATAATATAATTCTGAATAAATTATTATAAAGAGTGGTTTACAGCTGCTATTTTTTTCCTCTTTACTGGTATAATTTCAGACAGGGGCAAAAAAAAAATATATATATATATATATGGGGGAAAAAAATCAAAGGAAGAAAGAAACCACAGTGGCTAAAACTCATGCTGTGTCTGAGAACAGATAAGGTGCAAGGTAGGGGAAAAGAAGAAATAGATTTCTCTGGATGCAAAGAGAAGAAAACATCTACAGGGGTACCTTGTGGGTACGTACCAGGGAAAGCAGGGGTGGTCTGTCCAAGAGGGGTAAAGGGGGTTTGCTGCATAGCCAACTGGTGGAGCTTGGTCAACTGCTGAAGGGTTAGGAGGGAAAGTAAAACTAAGAGATTACTGATACACAGGTCACACCAAGTAAATTATATCAATAAAAAAGAAACATAAACCAGGACGGAGAAACGGTGAAGAGAAGGAGGCCATGTCACAGGGTGGTGGAAGACAAAAAGCGACAGAGACAAAGAGACGATGTCTTTCTTCTTGAAGATGCGTATTATTAGGTCATTTGAGTCGTTTTCCTGCCTGCTTGTATTTTTTTCTTTTTCACGCATCAGCGCATCCTAACTTCCCCTCATCAAGATCCACGGGCCTTTCAAAAAGCTACTACTGATCCAACCTGTAGCTTAACATGCTCTTCAGGTAATTTCCACCTGGGATGCTTTAAAAGCTTCCTGTCCTTTTAAAGGGAGTTTTTAATGAGGGTGGAAAAGGGTGTCAAGTCTATGCCTGAGTGATTGTACCGTCAGCCAACAGCTCCTTTGGCATCAATCACAGTTTGGCTTTGAATTAGTGGATCTGACACAAGGTGGCTCTTGAGATGCTCTTACGACAAGGACAGATGAAGGCAGATTAACAGAGATGGGAATGGACGCTGGAATTTAAGAGGGTCTCTGAATCCAAACTGCTCCCTCTGTCTTTGGCTTTATTATCAGCAGCTCTATTTGTTTTGGTATTGATCAACCACTGGTAGACAGATCTTATTCCAAATTACTGAGAAGACCCATGTCTAGGATTAAAAGAAAACATATATTTTATTTACACTTTATAGAATAACACATTTAAAATGTTTCTTATAATTGTCTTACTTTATTCAAAGTCAGGCATGTACATATAGTAAGATTAACATTACTTTGAAATTTTTCATAAAGCCCAGCAGATAATCTCATGGCTTTGTAAACCTCTGATAGGTTAATTTAAAGACATCTATTTTTACTAGATCTGTCTTAACACCACACTTTAAAAGTTCCTTTATCTTGTGAGACATCCTGAGAAAACCAGATGAGATGTTAAAAAAAAATACTGTGGACCTCCAAATTTCTAAATACCTAATAATCTCAGGTTCCTCTGTTCAAATTATAATAACCAAATATAAACAGGGTAAGAACCACAATGGTTAGGACAGAGACATGTTCGTTGTCTCAGAGATAAACGGGTTTGTGTGTTAAATGTGCGATTTGACCCCTCCCCAAAAGGAAAGATGATATTTTGAAGATGCTACCAAAGCAGTTGAAACATTGCCATCATCCACAGTGGAAAAAGTCCCACATGAGCTAAAATGCCATTCATAGAGGATGAAGCCATATTTCCAAAGGTAACATAAAAGAATAAAGAGTGTGTAAAGCGTCTGAGGGAAAAAGACATTACTGTTTTGGAAGACATTTTCTTGGATCTGATAGAATTTAACTTGCAGTATTATCCAGTAATGCCCACCATTACCCTGTGAAGGGTGGGCATGATGTTGTGGGGGTGTTTTACTATAGGAGGACTTGTGCATGTCACAAAGAAGATAGCATCACGATAAACGATGTGTAATTTTTTAAAGCAATATATCAAATCGTCATCCAGAAGGTAAAGCCTTAGCACAATTGGGTCTTCCAAATGGCCAATAACTCAAAGTATACTACAAAACTCATTTTAGGATTTCTTAAATATCATGCTTTTTTAAGCATTTCATAGTCAACTAGCGAAAAAATATTTGTTATGTCCTTCCAACCCCAAAGAAAAACATTTGCCCAGAAACAAAACACACCTATTTCTGCCTGGGTGCCTCCCATTTTGTGATATCAGCGTATCATACCACTACTGAAAGCTGAATAAAATAAAAGACCCCTTGAGGCCAAAAAACTTTTTTTTAAACTTAGACTTTCAGTAATATAGAAAAAGTTGCCGCTCCTGTGCAAATTGGCTCCCAAAGGAGTTACTTTGTCTCAACTCCGAGCCAGAATCATTGTGCTCTTCCTCACATCAAGTGTACATGATTGGAGAAAGTGGGCATTGGTCTGCAGTGTATGCACAATGATGTTAAGGTAGGTGCTTACTTGATGGAGCCTTATTATAGAGCTATTCTCTGTCCTTTCGTTTTCAGCAGAACTCCTCAGGATTACTTAAAGTTGCATGAATAAATCAAAACAGCATTTTGCACATGGTTTTGATGAAGGAATAGCAGTTAAAGGCAAAAAAAAAAGTTGATTTGCATGATAAAAACTTTAAGGACAACAGAGTCAATGCATGGAGTGGCCGTCAAATTAAAAGTCACTAAAAGTCAAAGTTCTGAGTGGAAAAGTTGAGGTAACAGAGCAGCAAAACTGTCCAGCGATACTATGTATGTCACATTAGGTCAATCTTCACTTACTACCTAATTCCAAACAATATATTTTATAAACTTTGCAGACAATATACCTTGCAGAACAGCAATGGTGACTGAGAACAAGATGGACAACAAACCTGAGCCTGCAGCTGTTGTGAGAAGCTTGTGGAAGGATGTTATTTAATGTGAAAATAATTATGATAGAATTGTCTCATTATTCTGTCTTTTTACAAAATACAAACCGTTTTGTTACTCCAAACTGACCTAAACCTGGGAAGGTGTAGTGTGATTTAATGTTTTGTCTTTTTATAGAGTGTAACTATCTGATTTGAGCTGGGATTTAGTGATTAATATTAAATGAATTAGAGAAAAAAAAATGCAGGGAGAACTTACGTCTGGGTGTGGTATGGCATACTGTCCCTGAATTGTGTAGGCCTGCAAAGAGAACATATAGTAAATATAAGGAGAGAATCAGGAGAAAAACTAGTTTTAGTCATAGTTTCTGATGAGTTTTCCCTCATCTACAGCTTAGCTGGTTTGGGGGGAGAAGAGGAGGGAAAAGAGCTCTGCAACATTTCACCACACTTGTTTTTCCATAAAAAAAGCAAAACCACATTGAACAATGCAGGCGTCTTCATATTACAGTTATGCCAGACTAACAAGCTTTTTCATATGCAATCCAAGAGCATAATCAAAATAAAGGGAAACAGAAAAATTACTTTGGCCATTGCAAAGTGCAAAACACTATTGTGTATATTCAAAGTACAGCAAATAGACGAGAATTGAACAGATTTGCAGTTGTGATCAAACGTTTTCATGGGTGGAATGATTACAGTATGCAGCAGAGAAAAGAATGATTATTTGATTTAAAAATAAACAAGAATTTTGTGGGAAGGTTTGAATTTACTGCAGATGCCTGTGTGGCATCAATCTGTGTGAATAGTTGTATTCGAAGAATGTGAACTTTTATTCAAATTGTTTGGCTTCTTGAAAGAGACTGAATTTTAATTTTGGATCAATGTCCAGATGGCAGTCTCAGCAGTGTCCAGATGGAGAGAAATTAATTTGGATGTTCAGGAACAAACCAGGAAGCACCAAGGCTCAAGACCTGGCTGTGAACTGCTGGCCAACCTGTTTGACCATTCATAAACAGTGACAACTGTTAACCTCACCATGGTCAAACAGGCAACCTGCCAGAGAAGAATTCCAAGCTCAGAATCATCAACATCAGAATGGACTAAAATTTGCAACCACACACATAGACAAAGCCAAAGTTTTTAGTGTTTTTTTTTTTACAATAAACATTGTTGTGGCCCAGCTCTGCTGACACAAAAAAGTGGAAATCCACAAAGGCCACAGATGCACCATGGACTTATTTTACGCAGGCAAAAGAAAAAATGTTCCAGGTAAACTCCTTTAGTTTCCTCAGTTTATTTTTTCTTCAGGCAAGCAAACAAAAAAAAATAAATACATTTTCCTCCATGTTTCTCTTGCGCTGGTAAAAAACCATACACCCACCCAGATGCATGCTGGTCCTCCCATTGACTGCCTATTTATAAAAAAATTTATTAACCTAAATTAATCATAACTAACCAAAAATAAAGGAACATGACTAAATAACCAAAAAACATAATTTCATAACAGATATCAAACAATAAAGTAAAATAAACTTAGCTAGATTATGCACAAAAACAAAAAACATTTTTAATTATTAACAAAAATAATTGGCTCCTACAAACATATTTAAACTGTTTGGCCACAATGATAAGAAGTGTTTTTTGGAAAGAGAAACACTTCAGCTCCTGTCAATCATGATGGCATTAGTATCATGCAGTGGGGCTGTGTCTAGATGTATTCACACTGCTGTTCCAGTATAGGGATTGTAATCCTGGACTGGGTTCAGACAGGCGTGGTTTGCTTTAGAAATGAGCCTTTGGCGCTGTCTCTCCATCTCCAGATGGTATGAGTGCATTCCCCTACATGGAAGCATAAGAAAGTACTGCCTTCATATTCTACACCTTTAACCCTGGGCTGGATGATGCACTTTTATACACAGTTCAGCGTTTCCTAACAGGGCAGTGATAACAAACATACCAATACTGATGTTGGACTCTATGAAACATAACAACATTGCTCACCTGGGAAGGATCTGACCTTAAACCTGCTAAAAGTTGAGGATAATGCTTAAACAATGCATGTTAACCCAGCTTTGAGGTATTTAGATGGTTACATCAAGTTATTGTCCAGTGCTCAGTGTCATGAGTCAGTAAATGGAAGAGCTGTGAGGGGCTTGTTGTTGGATCCTGAGAGAGTGAGCAGCTGGTAGGTAGATACATGGTCAACATCAGAAAAGAATCCCTGATGCTGTTTTTTTGGTAAAACCAAACTCTTTCTGGCAAACTGCGTGGGACCATATTACACTATTTAATGCTAAGAACGCTAATTATGTTTAAACTACGCTACGCTTTATTAAGAACCAGTAGAGATCAAACATATGAGACCAATAATTGGAAACAGTGTAAGCAACCAAATAAGAGCGCACAAGACCAAAACAGAGGCCACACAACACTGAATGAGATTACATGTTAAACCAAATTAAATATAATCAAGCCAAAATTAATTTGTTATGGTTTTTCTCAACAAATTAAATGTTCTTCTTTGGTATTTCACAGTTGATCCATTCTCTTGCATTAACCCCCTCTTCAGACCAAACCTTGTGCCTACATTTCAACTTCTATTAAGAATCAAAGACTTATATCATCTGGAGAAGATTTTCTTTAGTCTGAAAAGGGCTGCCTACAAAAATCTGTAAAATAATTGTTGATAATATAATTTCTTATTAAATATATACATTTCAAGATCAGAAACTGGGAAAAGATGATTTCTTTTGGTACTTGCAGGTGAGACACTATTTCAACAGTAACATTAAAGAGGTGCTGAAAAAGAGCGAGTCAAGTTTAATGGAGGCATTTTTATCACTAATTAAACCCGGATCAGATGGCAAAATCATCTCCAAATTATATAAGGCCATACAACTGTCTAAACAAGAGAATACAGAATACATAAAGAGGAAGTGGGAAAAATAAATTAAGGTTAAAATCTCACAAGAGACATGGGAGGAAATTTCTCAATTGCAGTGGGTCTCGACCAGATCAAACACATGGCGGGAGTTCTGCTGGAAAAACATCGTACGATTTTTTATTACACCCATTCAGAGACGATATCAAAACAACAGGGACGCCTGCTGGAGACTCTGTGGGTATGAAGGAGCTAACCACTTTCACATTTTTTGGGACTGTCAGGTAATAAAACCAAATTGGGAAGAGTTCCACAAGCATATTGAAAATATATTCAATGTAAGTATTCCATTAAAATGTGAAACATTGTACCTGGGAAATCTACAATTGGACACATGGACTAACAAAGACAAAAAACTGCTGGCTACACTACTGGCTGCCAGTAAGAAGGCCATCACAAGGAAATGGATGAAACCAGACCCACCCACTATTGATGAATGGATTGAAATTGTTTACCAGATTTATGTGATGGAAAGAATCTGTTTTTCCCTCCAATTAGAAAAAGAAAAGTTTTATAAGATTTGGTCCAAATGGACTGAGTACGTGAAACCAATTAGATCCGACTTTATTTGATTGTTATTCTGAAATATGTCTTGCCCTCTAATGTCTTTGTGGTTTTTTATTACTCGAGGTGGTGCAATACTCATTACTGTTTAATTCTGTTCATTTTTTTGTTATCTTTACAATTAAGTTAGTGATATTCTGTGAAAAATAACAGAAAGGCAACATGGACAAAATCACTTGGACTTTCTGCTTATATCTTAAGTTATAATCGTAAATGGATGAAGATGTGATTACTGATGTAATGGAAATCTGTCTTTCTAAATAAATAAATAAATAAATATATACAAATCTGTTATGCCTCAGACTGACATCTACATTATCAGAGGTGCAAAACGACATCCGTGTCTGTTTTTAATGTTGTCAGTCATACAGGAAATTTGATAGAGGAATTAATGTAAAAAAAGGGTTTGGACAACCCACATAAATATATAACAAATAATGTAATGAAAGTAATTTAATGTAAAAAAAAAAATGATTAATTTGGACTTCATTGATGTAATAATCTGATAAAAGAAAAGGCGTTACCACAGTGAGCAGTGGCATCAACTGGCATGCAGATTGTTAGAACGTTTTTAGAGCTCAGTCAAAAAAAGTTTTCAGAGGCAGCTGTTTAAACTATTTAGAATACAATCAGACTCCTCTATAAGACAGAAGTGTTACCTTAGCAATTGTCAGCCAGTAGAGACAAAATAGATACCTAACACTGAAGGAGCTCCTGGATAAAGGTGGTATCAGTATCCAGACAAAGTGATGTCACGCTGCAGTGGGTGGCAACATGGCTGATTTCTCAGCAAACCTTGCAGCCACTGCCTGTTTTCCAGGCTGATAAGGCTCCCATTTGGCATAGATAAACCTGGATGACAAACCCAGAGATAATGGGATACAGTGGCTGAAGTTGTACAGGCCACTGACTGACTGAGAAGAGCCAAGATCAAAGAAAACACATGTGGATAGTTTGTAGAGTCTTAAAAAAAGACTCCTTGATGTGCGAAGAAAGATACCTATCAGGAGTGAAAGTGACTTTTATCTACTTCATATTAAAAACAAATACTTTTTAAAAGTATTTTTATATATTGCAATGTTTCTGCATACAAGAGTGAAAGACAAACACAAAATTACATTAGAATTTGACATTGCAATGGTAGTAACAATGTAATAGTGATGTTAGTACCAGTTAATTGAGTAGGAAATTACTGTGATATCTATCTCACAGGTTGTCATGATGAATTAGATGCATTTCTTCATTCAGAAATGTAATTGAAAAAACACACAATCAGAAAATCCAAACAGGATTTCAAGTTTTTGAAACAATGACTTTCCTTGGCAAAATGTTGTTCTGTAATCAAAACTCTTAAATCACCCCCTAAAGCATTTTTCATCAAAATGACCAGATCACATATCATACAGCAGCTCAAAACTCTGAGATCTGCTCTCAGTAACTGCAGTTCTCAGAGATTTAGAGCTGCAAGTATTCTGGGTTCATACTTTAGACACGACGACCACAGCATGTAACCCATTCCCCAATCCCGTGAACCAATTCTGCTAAAGTTCAAGCACAACTCCTGCTTTGCAATCAAATTGCAGCTCTAAAGCACTTTTTCAAAACGCTACACACTCTGATTTTTGGCACAAGTTTCATGCAGAAAATATATTGTTTCCCCAAAAGAACACAGAAACATTCAAATATGCACACTAACTCATCACAAGGGCAGTTTTCCAATCAGCAATCAGAGCTTTAGCATATAGAGGCAACAGGTGAGCTCTTTAACAGAGCCATGGATGCCAACACTGGAAAAGTTACGGACAAAGGACCGTAATCTCTGATGAGATCCGAGCCACTTTGGTTGATCATGTGGTCAGCCACGGTCTAACAATGATGGAAGCTGGGCAAATAGTACAGCCAAGTTTGAGCAGTACACTACAGCGTCCATCTGTTCTTTCTGAAATGAAAATAGGTAAGAGGTCTACTACTTTTTACCGTGTATATGTGTGTTCTGAGTACAAAAACATTGTTCTTGTGTATTTAATATCTGTACTAAGTGTACAGTAAAAAAAGGTCTATGTCCTTATGATGAATGGAGAAGAAGTGTCATGTTCTTCATAGAGAACATCACCCCAGTTCTAAAGTCCTTACATTCGCTCACTGTATCTCAGAGAATAGACTTTAAAATACTTCTGTTATTCTATAAATCTCTGAATGGCTTAGCACCTAAATACATCACAGACTTGCTCTGCATACCTAGAACCAGAACTAAACATGGAGAAGCATTTAGTTCCTATGCTCCACTTATCTGGAACAAACTTCCAGAAAACTGCAAAAGTGCGGAAAGCCTGAGTTCCTTTAAATCAAGACTAAAAACACATTTGTTTAGAATCGCCTTCGACTGTTCTAGTTAAACAGTTCAACTAAAACATCATTAGTTCAACTTTTTTATTTTCTTTAGTCCAAATTTTTTTTAATATTCTTTTTTGTTTCTGCATTTTTTATTTTTTATTTTTTGCTACTTGCTTTGATTCTGTTTTATTTTCCTGTATTTTAATCATGTAAAGCACTTTGCATTGTCTTTGTACTGAATTGTGCTATACAAATAAATTTGCCTTGCCTTGCCTTGCCTTTCCTTGCCATAGTGATTTAGATTGAGGACATCAGTGTTAAACTGGTTCTTATGGATCTCTGTTCTTATGGTGGTCTGTGTGTCATTTGGAAACAAAATACTACTTTTGTGTGTTTTTGTTTTGACTTGTGTGTGGAGTTCTGACAATATGAGGTTTAAACCTTAGCAAAAAACTATAAAACGGGATATATGGAGATTAAATATTTGTACATAAATATAGAATTTGCATCATATTTATTTACTCAACTTGATTTTTGCCATCCTGTTTCTTTTTCTTTTTTTTTTTTACACGTCTTTGGTTACTGTAATGTACCTTTAACAGAGGTCCAATTGATTGGTATAAGGATTTCTAAGTTTAGGTGCCCTAAATCCCTATGATTACCTCTTTTTTTTCTTACCAGAAACAAAAAAACTAAGCTTTCCTTAAGAATCCTGTATATTATTTCGTGCCTCTGACTGTCTGCTCAATCCCTTTCATTTATGACTCCTGTGTGAAAACAGTGAAATAAAAGTCATTTATTTTCCAAATAGATAGATGCGGAGTGGTCCCAAGGTGTCTACACTCAAAGCCACAGTTTAGACCAAAATACTTTTCTAAATTGTTGCACTGGCCAAAGTGATTTTAGCGAAGCCGTGTGTCTCTGTATGAGTCCTGAGTGAAGAGTTTTTAGAAATAGTTTGAAAAGTGTGTGAAATTATCAGAAATATTCGAAGTGATTTGCAAACAAGAAAGCTGTTGAAATATAAGTTTGAAGAACACGACTTGTACCACGTTTCAGTAAATGAGCTAAATCAGAAAAACTGGAATATAAACTGATGAGCTGAGCTAAAAATGACTTATTTTCTAGTTCTTTCAATATTCAATATGCTTATTTGATTATGTTTGCTTCACTATAACCTACATATAAGTACACTTATCTAATGTACCCATGTTATAATTTTTATTCCACAAAGCTCAGCACCTGTGATGGTAACATGATAAAGAACCGGTTCATATCTGCTTCCTACTGTCCACCAGCTGTGAATGTCTGCTTTGTTTATTAGTCAAAATAATGAGTCTTTCTGGATCTGAGTGGTTCCTGATTGTATAGATCCTTGTCACACCAGCAGAGTACAATAACACAGTTGGAATTTTTAGATGTCCTAATGTACATCTAAACACCCTTCTGACCGTCCCTACAGTAGTTTCTGGTAAAAGTGCTTTCTACTAACTGGGGTTAACATCTCTGCTGGATAATGTGTCCTACCCCGTGCATGAAGCTGTTGCAGAACTGGAGAGCTCCTTCAGTGACAGACTGCTGCGCTCTACAGGTGCTGGTCATAAAATTAGAATATCATGAAAAAGTAGATTGATTTCAGTAATTCCATTTAAAAAGTGAAACTTGTATATTATATTCATACATTACATACAAACTCATATATTTCAGATGTTTATTTTGTTTAATTTTGATGATTACAAATGACAACAAATGAAAATCTCAAATTCATCATATCAGAAAATTAGAATATTGTGAAAAGGTTCAAAATTGATGGCCCCTGGTGCCACACTCTAATCAGCTAATTAACTCAAACCACCTGCAAAAGCCTTTAAATGGTCTTTCAGTCTAGTTCTATAGGCTACACAATCATGGGGAAGACTGCTGACTTGACAGTTGTCCAAAAGACGACCATCGACACCTTGCACAAGGAGGGCAAGACACAAAAGGTCATCGCTAAAGAGGCTGGCTGTTCACAGAGCTCAGTGTCCAAGCTCATTAATAGAGAGGCGAAGGGAAGGAAAAGATGTGGTCGAAAAAAGTGTACAAGCAAGAGAGATAACCGCACCCTGGAGAGGATTGTGAAACAAAACCCATTCAAAAATGTGGGGGAGATTCACAAAGAGTGGACTGCAGCTGGAGTGAGTGCTTCAAGAACCACCACACACAGACGTATGAAAGACATGGGTTTCTGCTGTCGCATTCCTTGTGTCAAGCCACTCTTGAACCACAGACAGCGTCAGAAGCGTCTTGCCTGGGCTAAAGAGAAACAGGACTGGACTGCTGGTGAGTGGTCCAAAGTCATGTTCTCTGATGAAAGTAAATTTTGCATTTCCTTTGGAAATCAAGGTCCCAGAGTCTGGAGGAAAAGAAGAGAGGCACTTCATCCACGTTGCTTGAAGTCCAGTGTAAAGTTTCCACAGTCAGTGATGGTTTGGGGTGCCATGTCATCTGCTGGTGTTGGTCCATTGTGTTTTCTGAGGTCCAGGGTCAACGCAGCCACATACCAGGAAGTTTTAGAGCACTTCATGCTTCCTGCAGCTGACCAACTTTTTGGAGATGCAGATTTCATTTTCCAACAGGACTTGGCACCTGCACACAGTGCCAAAGCTACCAGTACCTGGTTGAAGGACTATGGTATCCCTGTTCTTAATTGGCCAGCAAACTCTCCTGACCTTAACCCCATAGAAAATCTATGGGGTATTGTGAAGAAGAAGATGCAATACACCAGACCCAACAATTCAGAAGAGCTAAAAGCCACTATTAGAGCAACCTGGGCTATCATAACACCTGAGCAGTGCCACAGACTGATCGACTCCATGCCACGCCGCATTGCTGCAGTAATACAGGCCAAAGGAGGCCCAACTAAATACTGAGTGCTGTACATGCTCATACTTTTCATGTTCATACTTTTCAGTTGGCCAACATTTCTATAAATCCTTTGTTTTTATTGGTCTTCAGTAATATTCTAATTTTCTGATATGATGAATTTGAGATTTTCATTTGTTGTCATTTGTAATCATCAAAATTAAACAAAATAAACATCTGAAATATATGAGTTTGTATGTAATGTATGAATATAATATACAAGTTTCACTTTTTAAATGGAATTACTGAAATCAATCTACTTTTTCATGATATTCTAATTTTATGACCAGCACCTGTACAATAAATGCACCAGGGAGCGTTTTCATAGATCCTTCCTCCCTGCTGCTTTAAGACTCTAAAACCACAACTGTACCCAACAACCTTAACAAGTTGTTACACTCATGCAGATTTTTGTTTCTATCTTAATCAGTTCAATAACATGCTGCTGTCATTTTGCACATCTCTCATGTTGCTGCTATTTTCAAATATCCATTACTTTAAAAATGTCCATAGCTGTATATTGGTTATTTATTCTCAAGCTGCACAGTTTTATATTATGTTTAACAATATAAGTGTTTTAACAAAACAAAACTGTGACTAGCTGCACAGTTTTATATTGTTAAAACGCTTTTACAGCTCAGTATTATATTATTTTTATCATTTCTCTTTACTAGTATGTTATTTTTAAACAAATTTTTAAGGTCCATATTTATGTCACCATTATTTTCTATAATCTTTTTTGCTGCTGTAAACACAAGAATTACCTCATTGTGGAACAAAAAAGGGATTTTCTATTCCATTCTATTTACTTGATTTATTTTTGTCAAAAAGTGAAATTTGTTTTACTGTCTAAAGATTTATGTTTTACATAACGACTAAATTAATCTTTTTATCTGTTTATTTATCACTATGTTTCCTTTCCAGCAGGAATTTTTCAAGGAACTTTATTAATTCTGCAATTTATTCTATTTGCTTCTAGTTTTTTAGAGTGAAAAGATGTACACTGCTGTTATAACAGTTATAACATTATCAATTTGGTCTTTAAACTCTCTAATTCTGAATTAAATGTGAAGTTTTCATAGGGTTATTACCTTGACAGTGAAAATTCCTCTATTAAGGTGGCATACAGGAATGATTCGCCACTTTTGGTTCGGTATAAACTTTAATTTAGAAATATAATTTCTTGCAGAGGGGTGTAAAAAAGTTTCCAGGAAAAAAAGAAGGGCGTTCAGGTGCTGAAAGAAGCTGATTGTGCAGTAAAGCTCTGAGGTTGGTTGCAGGCACAAACTAATGAGCTAAAGCTAGCTCAGCACTCACCTGACCACCAGAAAAAATGACTGGGGTGGAGGCAGGCTTTGGGCGGTATGGGATAGTGGCACCTTTTGGTGGAGACTAAAAGAGACAGAAAGAGAAAGTAGGATTAGTTTGCTTTGTAATCAAAATCCATGTTCCCAACTATAAGAGGTATTTCCTTGCAAACATTTTCCAAACACCATCCTGTTGTGAATTTTTGGATTTTAACAAAAACAGCAGAACTTTTTAAGGATAAAATGTATTTGCTTAGTTTAGAATAGAGGAATAATTTGTTTTTATTCTTCACTTTACTGTTTAAAGGTTAAAGGGATACATCTTTAGTTAGAACATTCCAGTTATCCTGAGCTATCTCTATAGTTCTGCTTTTATAGGTTTAGTGTGCTTGAGGACATAACAGGCAGTTTTCATTACTCTCCTTCATACCTCCTACACTTTCTACCAAATTTTGCAATATTTGTTAATGAAAAACTTAAAATTAAATTTGAAGTTCAACGTCTATATTAAGAATCCAAATTTGGAGAAATCCTTTCTGCTTACAGCTATCAACATCTACAACAACTTGTTGAAGAACTATGAGGTACAACATCATCTTCCTAGAGGATGAATAAATGTTTTTGAATTTAATTCAGACTGTATCTTTTCATGTTTTGTTCCGTTTGTTACTGCCGTCAACAACTCCCATTATAGATTTCATAGTTTGGTCTGTTTTTCTGTGTTTTGTCTTGTTTCCCTAACAGACATATCTCTGGACTCAGCTTTTATTGTGACTAACTATATGTACTTTTTTCATCCTGGTTGACATGAAAACCAGATCATAGTTAATCTGTTTCACTTTTTCTTCTTAATAGAGCCACATACTGTATGGAGCTAGTGTACAATTACCCTCTCTAACAGAAAAAATATTTATGGATCAATCCATCTAGTTCCTTTTGTTTGCTTGCTGCTTTCTCCTTGAAACTGCAATCAGCAGGTGCAGAAGGCCGCTCACACTGAGCCTGGTTCTACTATAGGTTTCTCCTTCTAAAAAATAGATTTTCCTCTCCACTGTTGCTCCCTGCATGCTTATTGAGAAGGATTGCTGCAGTCAACACCACAATACAAGCAAATGTCTACTGTCTCTGTATGCTCTTTCAGGAGGAGAGTATTCCACAAAGTCAAGGGGATTATTAAATTAAATTTGTTTCCTTTGATAAAAAGAAACTTGGAACCAAACTCACTGTATGATTAGACTGAATTGTCTTTGTAAAGTGTGTTACACTGCAAAAAAAACATCTAAAATTAAGTACTAATTCTTAAACATAGTGTATTCACCCTTAATCTGAGTAGGTAAATAAAGATGATCTGCCAATGGAATGAGTATTTTTACATTTAAAATAAGATAAGTTTATATTATGGACTTTAAATAACACAATAAAGTTTTTTTTTTTTTTTTTAAATGTAAATGATTTTATTTCTTTAGAAGTCTCACTTACATGCTTAATTTAAGAAAAAAAATCTTATCATAAGATCTTAAGAACAATTGACTTACTTAATTTTTTTGCAGTGTAAGATTTAAACTGGTGCGTATAAATTAAACTGAACTGAATTCAATTGACTTAATGGATCAAAGTCAGCACACAGTATGTCAGATACCATAGCAAGGGTACCTGCTGAAAATATTAGTAGGTGTAACACCGGTTAGCTGCTAAATCAACATTAATGTGTTGAGGTTGAGAGAATAAGGAAAGTATACTGTCAATGTAAAAATGAGAATTGATGCAAATACTTAGAAATTTAATGAAAATTGTTTCTTTTTGCTTCATTCTCTGAGAAGCAAGTAGCTATTCTTAGCTCTGTGTTAAAATGTCTCCCATCGGTTCCAAAACTGAGATGTCTACTGACAAGATAATGTTTACAGAATGAAACATTCTCTTACCAAACTGAGCTTTTAGTGGATCTTAACGTAATCCACCTCACAGCACCTTAATAATCCAGAACTAGTAGATGATACTAATAACTTCAGACAATTTGCTTTATTTAAACCCTGTTAACTCTACTTAAAAAGCACACAGAATTACAACCATCTAGGATGGAAGGTTCATATATATGATCCAAATATATGTTTATGTTTTTTGCAGTTAATTAGTAGTAGAATATGCAGTTAATTTTAATTACGTAATTTGTTAAGGATTTAACCAGTTCCATCAGTAACATTTCTAATTAAATTGATCTCCTTTGCATGAATGCATGGTTGGGTTTAAGCCATGACAAACAAAATCTCTCAATGTTTTAATTTTCTCCCAACTCAATAGACCATTTAGATTTCATCCTTTTTCTTGAATTTTGTTGGGACGTAGTTTTTGCCACATGCTAATATCTTTATCAAGATATGTAACTTTCAGTGGTTTTATACCTTCCATTAAGATCACAAGGTGTTTTCTGTTGTTTTTTTTCGTTACAGAATGTTATATTACACAAAAAAAGGAGACAATACCAGGAAATATCCCACATGAGGCCATAGAGTTTACAGGAAGAAGTTTGTTGTGTTGTTTTCAAGGTAAAGACCATTTTTCTTCAAAGTAAAAAGAAACAAACAAAGACCTTGCACCTGCTCTCTAACTATATGCATCACCACTGTTCTGTTATTCTGCCCAATCCATCATTGTCTTTCCATACTCAGCAGTACTGTGGTTTTAGGTATAATGAAGCAGAGCTCCACTTTTGAAAATTACCACAATCAGAATGAATTCTGATTCATGCTGCCTTAACAGGAAGTCCATTCAAGACAGTGCATATAATTGGGTTTCCTCTGTGCTGCTAGGAGCTGTGTTCCTTAAATATGAACAAACTCAGAAACTGTTTGTAGAGTTAGAAACTGAGATTTGACCGTCTGCATTCTGGATGCTACGTTTTGTTTCACTTGTTTGTTTTAAATGCAGGATTCTTAAAGGAATAGTACACCCAAAACATGATCAGCCTTCATTTTCTACTCACCCACATGCTGAACAACACTCTGGAGTACTTTTTTGATATCTCAAATGCATCTGGAGATCTGGGAGGCTTCTTGCTGTCTGCTGACATTCAAATAATGGAGGTCTATGGCGCCCGAGGCAGAAAGGTCCATAAAAGTCCACAAAAAAACATGTCAATATTCCTCCATACTGCTCGTCCAATGTATTCCAAGTGTCCTGAGTGGGTAGCATCCAGAATTTACTCGAAACGAAGTCATTTAGAATGTTTTTAGAGCATAAACAGTAGTGTATAGGATTTCCTGAAAGCGCGCACATGCGCGTTCACGACGCTACGGAAGCTGGCAGACCAAACCAGCGCATTCAGCTCGGCAAAGAACTCATGCTCTTCCTCAACACTGAAGTCCTCAGACATTTTTCTTTCGTTGTTTCTTTCTTTGCACAGGTAAACAGCACATTTCTTCTTCTACGCTTGCATTATTGGCAGAGCAGACGCTGAATGCGCACTTTCATCTGGTTTGGTCTGCTGCGGTTTCCGTAGCGTCGTGAACGCGCATGTGCGCGCTTTCAGGAAATCCTATACACTACTGTTTATGCTCTAAAAACATTCTAAATGACTTTGTTTCGAGTAAATTCTGGATGCTACCCACTCAGGACACTTGGAATACATTGGACGAGCAGTATGGAGGAATATTGACACGTTTTTTGTGGACTTTTATGGACCTTTCTGTCTCGGTCACCATAGACCTCCATTATTTGAATGTCAGCAGACAGCAAGAAGCCTCCCAGATCTCCAGATGCATTTGAGATATCAAAAAAGTACTCCAGAGTGTTGTTCAGCATGGGGGTGAGTAGAAAATAAAGGCTAATCATGTTTTGGGTGTACTATTCCTTTAAAGCTCCCAAATGAACTGTAGGGTATATAAACATGACAAAAAAAATAGTTAAAGGAGAATGGTTAAAGTCTTTAAAAAAATTTACTTTTAGAAAAAGCAAATCTTTCTAAGGAGCAACTTGTAAAAACTTCATCCCTATCAATGGAATCAACTGATGTAAAGGCTGTCGTGAAGCTGCTGCATCCCCCCCATCCTGATGTAGCAGGAGCAGTGTAACCTGCTTACAAAATATCAGATGAGCCTAAGATGATTGAAACCCTGGAGGTCTTACAGGTTTATCAGTAAATAAAGCTTTCAGGGAGGTTGGTTGGGTAGCTATGCAAAATCATCTTTCTGCTTTTATTGTTATTCTTTTGCTTGGACCTTCAAAGAGGAAAATAAGATGAGCAGTATGAGCCGATCAGACTAAAAACGTGTTTTATTTTTCGGTAGCAAAGCAACAAAGTCCAGGATTAGTCTTCAGAATTGTAATATACCACAGTGTGACTCAGAATGCAGTTTTGGCTCTTCAAAGTTGGTTTAAAATTGCCTCTAAAGTTTAAACTGTTTTTTTTCCCCGAAAGGTGTTTGTGACTTTACCTCCAGCATGACCACACAGATCTGTTTGACACACTGGATGATGGCTTCTGGGGTTCCAGAGATTGTCACGGCGCGCTCAGTGGAGTTAGGAAGCATGTCCCCCGCCACCTGAACCTGAGCCCCTGTAGACTGCAGAAGAAGGGGAGACTGTGAGAGATTAATGTTTGCAGGATAACTCTAACACCGACCACATACGCAGAGCCACTCACAGAGGTACCGACTTCTGCAGAGAAACAAAATGATCAGTTCTGTCAAGAACCTCCTCCAGGTCTACCATGGACATTTGTTTAATGGCTTCTGAGTTAATTGAACTAATTGAGATGTTAAGTTTGGCTTCATCTTTAATATTCCCCCAGCTGAGACATGTCCATCTGGGATAACAACATCCTGCCTTGAGGACATTCTGTTTGGCACTAGACCGCCCTTGTGGAATTTCTCACATCCCATCTGCTGACATTAACCTGAGGGAAAACACTCCGCCCATTCCTCTGAAAAAAGCACGGCATAAATTAATATAGTAGAAAGAAAATATAAGTGGCTGCATCTCCCCTGGCCTTCAGTCTTTATCATTCCTGATTTCTGGAAAATCATTTTTAACATCATTATCATTCATGCATGAACAGGTCAGATATTTCAGGATGGATCTACAGATAAAGGCCAAATATGCTTTCAGGTCTCAACAGGAATGAACAGTTCTGACTTTGCCTCAAGCATCTGTTTTCTTCAGCACCTCGTCTCGGAAACTGTTCACACATTTTAGGATTGCCAACTGGACCTTGACTGTGTGTGTCTTCACTGACCTCCAATTAGAAACGACTACTAATTACGAAACATGGGAATTATACAGTAATCCACCATAACACCCACACCGTCTACTGACACTTCTCTGGTCCCTGCATCCATATCCACTGATGTTTTGCAAAAATCGGAGATAATTCTAATCAGTTTGGGCTTCCCATTCAAATTGTAAACAAAACAAACAGCCACCAACAGAAAAATAGATTTTTTTCAAGAGTTTATTGAACTATCAATGAGGAAAGAGGTTTGGAGAGAAGGGGAGGCGAGACTTGCAGTAAGGCAGATTGTCTCAGAGGTCTGTATATTCTCAAGTTTGATTATTGTAATTTCTCTGTCAGGGAATCTCTTAAAATGATATGAAAGCGAATCCAAAGTGCTCGAGGCTGAAATAAATTTCTTATTCGGATGAGAATAAGAAATACATTTAGTTCCTACAGTTCCTAGAACACAATGAAGATCTTCTTTAACCATAAGGCTCTGTTCCTTCTTAGACTTAGACTTTTTATTGTCAGTTTGCATACACAGAGTGTATACAAATTTCGTTTTGTTAGATTTTCAGACAGTAAATTAACATTTTGTTATTCTGTGTTTTCTTGTACATTTGTTTATTTTTCATTTTGTGTTATATTTAAGCATTCTGACATTTTTGAGTTGCTCTCTGTTGCCCCCTTGTGCTGTTCTCCTTTCCCTCAGTTCCTTCTAGTTACTTCATCCTATTCCTGCTCCCTATCAGATAACTAGTCCTCCTATTGTTTCTTCATCCATCTTCTAACACGCTTAATCCCAAGCGGGGTCGCAAGGGGTGCTGGTGCCTATCTCCAGTTGTCAATGGGGAGGGGTACACCCTGGACAGGTTACAGTCCATCAAAGGGCTCCCATTGTTTCTGTCTCCCATATATACACCTTGTGTTCACTTATTCTTTGCTGGTTTCATGTTGTTACTTGGCTCCCGATGTGTGTTTTCTCCTGAGGTCTCCTGGTTTTTGGTTTCCTGTATTTTGTCTCTGTTGCCTTCTTGATTCTATCAATCCTGCAAGAACTCATCTCTGCCTCCCTCATCTCTGCATTTGGGTCCTCGACAAACCTCCCACCAACCTTGACATAAGTTACATCACCTTGAAGTACCTGTGGTGGTAATCTAGGTGTGTATGAGAAAATTAAAAGGTCTCCCCCTACTGACTCTGGCTGAAAAATCTAACTTGCAGATTTCTCTGCCACTGAGCTGGTGACAGTCTTCTGACTTTGTTTTGGTTCTTCATAGTAACCCAATATAAATCTGCTGCCATCAATTAGCAGTGATGGGAACACTGTTTGTTTGAGTGAACTTAAACACTAAATCAGTACAATAAAATTGTTTACGCAGAAGACGTGTTCACAGAGTCACTCAGTACTATGACTGCATTTTCAAAATTAAACTTTATAGATCTTATAATTGAGTAATTAACTCATTTAACCCATCCCCTTGGATAGCAGAGGGCTGCTATTGTGTGGTGCCAAAGAGCAATGTGGGACTAAGATTCTTGCTCAGAGACCCAGAGTGCTGGGTGTGGAGATTGAACCGGGCACTTGCAACCTTTTCAGAGCACAAGCATGCTGCTCTAATGACAAGGTCAACACTCCCCCTTACATTCTGAATTGGCACTAGTCAAGGCTTTAATGAGATTACGTGTGCTGAATAGTTTTAATAGACTTTCATGGTTCCTTTCATGGAATCTTTTAGTCTCACCTTACCTTGTTTTGAAGTCCTGGCAACCGGAAGTCATCTGTCTCAGATGAAAAACTAGGTAAATATGGCTTTATAGTGACTTTTAGAAGTAAAAAAAATTGTAACTTAGTAAAACATTTACAGGCCACATCTGAAAGAAATTGTTACATAAATCGCTAGTATCTAATCCAGATTACTGTATGTCTGTCCTTTCTCAGTTCATTTATATATAATACGTTAGCAGGTGAAACAGCACCACTCTCATTGCAGTCTGAATACTGCATGAATAAGGGCCTGAGTCGTTCAGGTCCCAACGCAGACTGACAGTGTCAACAAATCAGCCATTTGTTTGTCCACTGGAGACCATCGGCATGAATGACTCCTTATTCACAGCTCGAGTGAATCCCAACCTGATTCCTATTGTGAGTGAGTTACCTAACCATCACTATTAAAGACCAATGCGAATCAGTGCCATTTAAGGAAAGTATAACTTAATGAATAACTCAAAAGCAGCATTTTCTGTTTTAAGTAGGTTAGTTTGGTTAAACAAACTATCCTTGATAGCTTTAGCAAGCTTTAGCCATTAGCTTTGAGGTATTCCAACATAGTGAGCCATGGATTTTGGAGGTTTATGACGTGGTAGAGCCAGGAAAAAAGGTAAAAGAAAACCATTGCCTCAAGATGAAAGGAAGGAAAACATATATCGGATTGGGGCAGGGTTTGAACAAGGTATTTACTCTGTGGTAAGACCTTAAATTAAGAAACAAGGATGTCATAGTGATACAAACCTGAAAATTCTGTTATTGGACTGGTATGTACCGTATGTCCTAACCACTATCTAATCAAACTTTAGATTAGATTAGATAAGATGCTCTTTTCAGAAGCTCCTCTCGGGGAAATGATGCTAAAAATGTACTCAGTGAGTCTTTATCAGTTTCAATGAATGATTTGGTGCACTGATAATGGACAAATCCTATTTGGTTTCCAAACTTGTACACATGCATTAACTCAGTAGATCTACTTTATTTTACTTACCTCTCTCATCTCTTTGATTTTTGATCCTCCCTTCCCGATGAGAGAGCCACACTGACTGGCTGGTACAACAAGCCTTAGGGTGACCGGAGGCTTGCTGGTGGCTGGACTGTTACTCATGGAATTGATTATGTCCTGGAAGAAAGCAGAACCTAATTCATTTTGTAGCAGTAATGTGGCCCCAAACATTCATGATGTTTAATTGAATTAGTAAAACCCATCCATACAAAGCAAATCAATTGAAAAATGTGTTCATTTTTCTATGTGTGCTAAATTGGAAGTGTTTTTTTTTTTTGGCATACTAGCATTGGGAGCCATCCTTCTGATCTACAAACTTCACAAAAACAATTATTAAAACAGAACTTTGTATCTGCAGTCACACTGTTTAAGCAGTATTGCTGGGAAACAAGGTCACTAATTAAATTAAACCCTTTTTGCTCTTGCGTTGGCTGTAACACTCTTTTTTTAATTACCACAAGTGCCAAAGATTAGAGTTTACATCTTTGGATTAAAACAAACAAATTTTTTCTAAGCAGGACGAAGAACTCTAAACATGTGTGAAAATACATTTGAAAATCCCTCAAAATGAGAGGGAAGACCAAATGTGACATTAAATGTGTAATTTAGTCTGGCACCGATCAATGAGACATCGGAAGATTGTTGATGCTCTGACCAATGAGCGCAACTGACTGTGATGTAGGAAGCGCAATAGAAAGCTGGTGGGGGAGTGTAAGCAAACAGCCTGTTGGTAAAACGGCGAATACGTCCTTTTTTAAAAATGAATGAGCGTAGAGCCTCTTCCTGCTCACGTTTCAAAGAAAACCCCAAGTCTAATCCTTCCAAAACTGATTCCAAAGCTGAGTCAAACAAGAACTGTGCAATAGTTGTTGTCATCTTCCTTGTTGTGCTTTCCTCAGCGTCACGCAGATTTGTCGTCCGACACTCAAAACGCTGCCTGCTTTGCATCCAAAAATTCAAAACACATCATTGTGATTGGCCAGCTACGTAGTTCTAAGGCCTGGGGCATTGATCAAGGCTAGACCACTTGCAGGCAAAAATAATTTTTGCTGCTGGCAAGTGGGGCTAGTTTACTAGGCTATAGATTGTGAATAAACCATGAAATGACCATCCTAAGTGAGGTAATAAAAGGCAAATGAGTTTTTTCTCTTATATTTCAAAGCTTTTCACCTCTCATCCAAAAGACTTCTTCTGCACAGCTGTATATGACTAGATGCTATATGACAAAAGTTGTAATCAGCAGTTGGATTTGTGTATTTTAAAGTATCAGTGGAGAAACAGAGATCCAACAAAACATAATTCTGACCAAGAGTGAAATTGGTCCTGCCTTATAGATAGCATTCCTTATTGAGGCCTTTCCTGACAGTTTCCACCACTTCTACTGCTGGAATATAGATGTAAAGCGATGCCATATCTAAGTTTAAATGTTTTTAAGAGATAGGAGAAATTATTTGCCTCATTTTTAAAAACCTTGATTCATTCAAAGTTAAGCTGTTTAGTTTGTATCAGGCTCTGTACACAGGCTTTTCGACCATCATTTTTCCTCTTTGCACTTCTTAATAGTTTAGTATTGTAAGACTATCACCATAGAAACTTTTTTATCATTTCTCCACTTCACACATTACTATCACAGCAAAATCGTAACATGCTTTGTGAGGCATAATCGGCCTCCACATTTTTCATTTAAAAGACAAAATAAATAGACAAGCTCATAAAAAAACTTAAACCAAGTAGGCTACTATTGGATTTGTAATTGTTTATAATGAGAGAAAGGTACCATCAGGATAATCCATACCTCTTCAAATTTATAGGCAATCATAGCAAAAGCCTTGAATATGGTATCTGTAGGTCCAGTGATGGTCACAATTCTCTCTGGACAGTTTCCTTCTGAAATGTTGATTCTTGCCCCGCTCTGGAAGCAGAAAATAGACACTCATGAAAACAGTACTGTACCTAGAGTAGTGTTTACATAAACACCTCTGATAAGTATACATATGCTTTGTGTAGCATGCTGTCATAAGTGTTAGCATGCTAGCCCTAAAAGTATTTCTTAATAAACATCCTGAACATTGCAATATAGGTCAGAGGTCAATAAATGCTCTGCAAGAATGATATATGTGTACGGTCTCCACTGGGCATCAAAGCAAAGGGACATTATTCTGCTGTTACAACCCTAGTTTAGCAAGTTTTTTTCATTTTTTCCTGCATTAACTACAAGACATATGAATTGTGTGCGACACATGGAGGGGTAACCTAAGAATATTTCCTTAAAGTTTCACCATTTGGTTCTTGTGGGAAGGTGAATGTGATAAAAGGTAAAATTTTATTTAAATTCAGGAACACTTTACAGATGATAAGGTTTGATCCCTCTTCAAAGAGATTAAAAATATTTTTTTGATAGAGTTGCTTTTTAAGAGTGAAATGTCCCCAATTTAGAGTTGGATCCACTGAAAGACATTTATTTATGCCTCAAGTGTAGCTCGTTTTTGAACTAGTACAGTAGAAGCCATTCAAAATTTCCCCACTTTCCTTGATGGGCCCTTAGCTGGTTACCCTACAATTCCTTTTTAAACATAAATCTTTATACTGGGATATTCTTTCTGTTATGATTTGTGCCAATTAAGATCTAAATAGAAGCGTCATCTACCTGTGATTCAGTGAAAGGCTGCAGTCAGAGAAAAAATATGCACACCCAGGATAAGGAGGGGGTCACTCCAGTGGCTAGAAGTTGGAGGGGATTTTTGCTGGGAGTTGCAGCAAAGTTGGCTACCATTCGGCTGCCGTTTGACTGGGAAGGGCCATTATAAATGGCTGCTACTGTAACCTTTATTTGATAATACAGGGAGTTGAATACATCAACAGGCTTAGTCTCAAACCTATGACAACCACGTTAAGGTGTGGTACTTCCATGCCGTTCAAGCTCAACATAGCAGCATATTGTCCATGGCCAGAAGCAGCAGAGAAAATGGAACAATTAACTCAAGCTCCACCCTCTAAATTGACTGCTCTGGTAAGGAAGTATGTTCTGGTAATGAAATTTATAAGCTTAGGTCCGGTGGAATAAGTTAAGGTGAGTGTGGTGAGGAAAAGTATGGTAAGGTTTGGTTGGTCAAAAGGAACAGCGTATGAGAAATAGAGAGGCATAAAAGCTTGTGCTAAAAAGAAAGCAGTAAGGGGAAAACAGCCAGTCGACCGCAAGCATTTTTTTTCTGCAAACCAAATAAGAAATACTTGATACAATGGAGTGTGAAACACAGAATGCAGCTATAGGCTCCAGAGGGTAACATTGCTAGTGTAGGAGAGTCACTTTACAGCTATGTTGTCCTTTCTAAAAGATTTAATTCCTCCATTTATTTCTGAAATAACTAAAAACTTAATAACTGTCTAGAGCTTTTTAAAAGCAGACATTTTTAATCTTATCAAAGTTGACTGCTCTGTTGCTGGGCAGACTAAGAGCCTAAGGCCCATTGAAAAAAAATCATCAGCAAAATATTTATCAAAGATCTGCTGTTAAGGGCAAGGAAATCATTTTCTTTTTCTAAATAAATAAATTATAACAAAATCTGTCTGCTTCAAGAACAACCAATCAGAGCTCAGTATGTAAGTTGATATCATAAGAAACCCTGGCTAGAATGAAGAAGATATTTTAGGTCGTCAGTGACTAAACACAGATTTATTCTTAGCTAAAGAAACAAGTTATTGAAATGTTTTCAGGTCTTTCACACATATAACTTAAATAAGCCCTTGATGTACTGTATGCTGATTTATGACAAAGGCATAGGCGGATCTACTGGGGTGGCATAGGGTGGCAACTGCCACCCTAAATGACAGCCTTGCCACCCCTGCTGCCACCCCAGTTGGCGGTAGGGGTGGCGAGGCTTATAAATTATGGATAATTTGAGAATTGCGACCGCTAATTTCCAATGTCGGACTGCAGTGAATGCAGCACGAGATGACGCGAGAGCGACTGAGACTGATTAGTTTTGAAAACCGAATGGGGCAAAAGCGAGGGAGCCAGGGGTGATGGGGAGAGGAGACACGGGATGAAACAGGTAAAAACTGATTAACTATCTTTCGAGAAAGTAAATCATAATGAAAGCACAATGATGCTAGCATAGCTGCAAGGCTGATTTTGAGATGATAAAAATCAGGTTGCAGAACGTTATTTCTCTAACTATGATGTTAGTTAGGCCTGACGTTTCAGGCTCATAAAGACATATTTGCGGTCAACAATGACAGAAAAGAGACGATCAAGTTTGGTTTTACTCAAATCAAAACGCAAAAAGGCATTGGATCTAAATAAATTTGTGAAGTGTTTTGCTAAGCAATTTGGAAATCACCGCATTCAGCTGTTATAGTCATGTCATCTTTATGTTATGCTCTCTGGTGAGCCTTTACAGAGCTGCTACATTTTGTTTTGGCACCTGAGAAAATCTGATATTTCCTTTAATGAAAACCAAAAGTGTTAAAAGTAAATTTAAAAATGTGATACTGGTGTAAATCCTGCTTAATACGAAGCAGTGTTGTTGTTTCTTTTTTTTTGTATATATAGTATGAAACTATCCAGAAATTACCGGTATGAACCTACTCACTAAATGTTTTGTACTTTTACAGATTGGAAGCAAAATTTATTTTTATGTTGCTTCTTTTCAGATTTGTGGAGATTTTGATGTAACATCCAGTACCTGCCTTTTTGTTGATTTATTGATACAAGAGCTCTATCTACAGCATATTTACACACATAAAATGTCTATTTCATGTTGCCTTAACTACTGTATGTCAAGTTACTGAGGAACAAATGGGGTAAATCTGTGTTCAGAGTAAACAATACATAGATGTCCAGTACCTTGTTTGGGTGCCTTGACCCTTTTATTTCTACTGTGTAGTTCTGCTCACTTTAGTCCAGCTCAGTCCATAGATCTCTGATGGGAAACTTTTTCTTTCTATAGTTTCTTCTTGTGCAAATGCTGCAAAGCTGCCTCTCTGACAGTCAATCTCATACATCTGCGACTCAGCACCTGTGTCTTACCTTAATACCTTTCCTGTGATAATGCCCCTCTAGAAGTAGTGTTATCATTCTTCTATCTCCTATTAGGTGAGATCACATTGTACGATGTATTTCTAATATGAACTGTTTCACATGAAACACATACTGTACATACTATTCTCACCAAACTGTGATAACTGTGATTAAATTCAGTGTAAACAAATGCCATATGTTGCCACCCCTCAAAACTTCCTGCCCCCCTCTCGCCACCCCATAAATATTTTTCTAGATCCGCCCCTGGACAAAGGTATACCTAGTTGAATTATTTGATCAAATATTAGATTTACTAGAAAAATATTAGATTTCTTGTTGTTGTTTTTTTTGTGGGTTATTTAGATTTTCCGTTTGATCATTTGGAACTATTTTGCTATGAGAGGCAAAGGTCTGAGTCCCGGTGTTCTGTCAGATCAGCATACCCCATCAGACCAGCACACCTATACTCAATACGCATGGACAAGACGTCAGATTTGCGTTTAGCCCTTTATTTTTGTACAAAAAATAGACTTTAAACTACCTCGACGGACGTTTATCCGTTTAGCAACATAAAAAAAAAAAATGTAAGGGCAGATCAACATACATTCAAAAAACACCACCAAGTAAGTAATTAAATAGTTTTTTGTACACGACTAAAGGGAAACACGCAAGTTGAGTTAGTTTAAAGGGTTTTTTTTGTACAAAACTATAGGGATAAAGCAAAGAGATAAACTGTCATGGTTTTGGTTCTGTTGTGCTTTACTTTGCTCCATGTTTCCTAATTTTATTGGTTTAATTCCGGTTTTGTTGTAGTTTCTAGATTTATGCTAGTTCTCAGGTTTTTCTGTTGTCCACTGTTGCCCTGTGTGTGTGTCTGTTCCTTTCCCCTTGGCTCCCTAGTTGTCTCCTCTCACACCTGCTCCTCATCTGCTCGTTAGCCCTGCCTTTGTCTCAGTCAGCTATATATTCTCTCCCTCTGCTGTCACTCCTGGTTGGTTCCTTGTTGTTGCTGGTCCTGTCATTGCTGTTCTCTTCCCACCTTGTCTCTCCCTGGCTCCTTGTGCGAGTTTTCCCCTGATGTCTCCATGGTTCTGGTCTGTGTTACATTTTTAGTTGGATTGTGCCTCTATTATTTGTGCTTGCATTAACACTACATTTGGTACCGGGCCGCACAGAAAAAAGTACATAATTATATATATATATATATAATCTATCGACGATCAGAGTCTGGGTGACGTTTTTTTTTGAAAAATATAAAAAAATTGCGGTATTCTCTCCCAATTACATCAGTCGGTGTGAAGCGGGATTTTCTGCGGTTACAGCGACCAAAACAAAGCTACGGAGCAGACTGGACATCAGGAGCACACTTCATCTGTCATTTTCTCTGATTACGCCTAGATGGGACCGGCTCGTTGTTTTATTTTTATGCTGTTTGTATTTGATTTTATGCCAGTCGTATCATTTTACTTGATCATAACCCAAACCCCCCGCCCGGTCCGTTAAAATATTGTCTGACATATAACTGTCCGTGGTGCAAAAAAGGTTGGGGACCGCTGCTCTAAACCACAACCAAAATGTGACATAAGTGGGTATTGACTATGGGTATGCTGGTCTGATCGGGTATGCTCATCTGACACAACACAGGCATGGTTTCCACATCTACTACCAACAGTTTTATGGTATAAGATATTTTATGGTGTTTTGTTAAAGTTTGCTGCAGCATCACTATAAATGAACAAAGCAACTGTAAAACTTAGAGGTTTTGGAATTGTTTCCTTTTATCTATATTTTTCACTTCACTTCAATGTACAGTATGACTATTACAGAATAGCAGCTATGTTCAGAGGCTCTAGGTTTTGGGAGTTAAGCTGAGGTTAAATATTTCCCATTCATTGCCACCAAATTCATAGCTCCTCATGTAATCAGTAATGTGCTGCCAGTGTTAGCAAAATATCAATGCAGAAACAGTAGGACATATTATGGTTTATTATGTAAATAATAGATTAATAAATTAATGTTACTCCCAGAAAAGTTATCCAAACATCTTTAATATCTATTATTTGTTTTTATAAACTCACCTCGTCTCGCATCTTTTTTACAGTTTCTCCTTTCTGTAGCATAAAAACCAAATACAAAGCATCGGAGGTTAAATCCACATCTCTTTAGGAAGTTTCCTTTTCCTTATGTGAGAAGGAATACTCACCTTACCAATTATACTCCCCACCTCCTGAAAGAATAAACATCTTTGTAGAGTCTTACAGGCAAAATATTGTATTAAAATGTACAGTATTGTGGATAATTTATGGCATTTAACATAATTGTGTACTGGATGTCCAACAATAGTAGTTAATATTAACTACAGTTAGCTGCAGTGCTTCATTTTCTACATCTGCTAAAGTCCAGATGTGAATCAGGAAAAAACCTCTGTAATCCACATTCAAGGTTTGTCTTACTTTTCCATGCATGAGGAGGCGGATGGTCAGAGTGACATTCAGCCCACCCTCTGACTGGACTTTGCTGTTCTCCATGCTGGGGGATGTGGGAATGGCTCTGCCCTTTAATGTCCTCTGAGGAAGATGGATTACTGTTATATTCCAGCCAGCCAGTCACCTATCAAAGTAAACATCAGATAAAGACTCATTAAAACCAGTCTGTTTGCCTAAATGTTTAAAAGTTTGGAACTAAAAAAAAAAAAAGGAAAAATTCAACAGCATATCTTTCTTATTTTTATTAGTTTTACAGATTTTAGAGGAAATTGGATCCTTTCTAGTTATTATTGATACCATAAAGCATTTTATAATTACCATCCTCATTTTGAATTACTTCAGAGAAAGGTAAAAGAAGTGTCACTCTCATGAATCCAATGAATGCTTTTTCACATGACGAAAACACAGTTATGAAAAACAATAAAAATACCTTAAACCATTTTAAAAAATATCATGAAGTCTGATTTCACACTCTGATTCGCTTTTAATCAAGACCACATCATCCTTTTTATTTTCCAAGTGTGTTTAAAGATGTTCAAGGTGTACAGTTGTTTCAGACTTTGGGAATTCAATGATAAGGAATTTCTCCACTGCGAACGTCAAGACTGACATTTAAACTAAGTCCATTGTCTCCACGTCTTTTAAAACCGTACTGATTTCTACTCATTGTAACATTCCCATTTGCTTGTACCCCCCTGGCGTGAGTTTTGTTCCTTTTGCAAGAAGAACGTGGTTAAAATGGTAATGTGCATCGCAGCCTGTTCAGGCTTGATATAATCAGCCACCTTGTTTCATTCTGCTGCAGGGCGCGCTCCTCATTCTCTGTTTTCTGCTTTTAGAGGAGCACAACAGCATCCAGCTACAGGTTATAATTTTCGGCTAGACACTGCTTTATCGTGGCGTTCTCAAACACAAACAGAACAATAGTTATCTAGGGAAAAAAAGATGAGAAGGCATTGTGGGGGGGTGAATCGGCTCTTTGGATAATGGTTTATGCAGCACCTCTCTGGATAATAGCAGAGTACATGAATAGCATCAGATTGATATTTTCAACAGGTTTCATTTTCCTAGTGTAAGATTTCCAACAAGGATTTTAAAGACTTAGTTGGAACAATGCTTACTTCCCTCATTGGTCATTCTGCCATTCGGTTTCTTAGACAGACTTATTATCCCAGAACATATGGATCAGGGGTCACCAACTTCATGGCTACCGAGTCATAGGAAGGGCTACCAATACTGACCTATGAACTGGAGGGATCAGTGTTCACATACAGTAAATCTCATCCATAAAAACTCATTTTTATTCTTATTTTATTCTTTTATTCATTACTAATTTTCTTTTTAATATTGTCATTTTGAAACCGCTGAAATATGATGAAATAGTAAACATGATGAAATAATACATAAATTATTAAAAAGAAGAGCAACAGAATAAAAAAAAATAAACTTAGGCCCCGTCCACACGAAGTCAAAACGAACACGAAACGCTGATATTTTCCAAAACGTTTGCCGTAAAGACGGAGACGTAAAATAAATGTGAGCGTCCACACGAATGCATGAAAACGCTGCAAAATGTATGCCAGGCCTGTAAGTGGCGCTGTGGTGCCAAAGCAAAAATAAGCGACGAAATGTTGGGCATGCGCACTAATATTTATACATGTTTGCCCTGCGGGCCCATTTTCGTGGTTAAGTCAAATTCAGGTGCTGAACTATGTCGTTGATATTGCTCCGTTCTTCCTGGAGATATTCCAGAAGAAGAAGATTCTGTTGTAAGCCCGACAGCAGGGTGAGTAGCATTAGCAGCAACGGCGCCATTGTTGTTTTGATACTGTGTCGCGCATGCGTGTTTAGAGGTGACGCTATGATGCATGCGTGTAAAAAAAAAACATGCGGTTAGAGCGTAAAGATGGAAACGCGAAAACGGCGTTTCGAAATCTTCCAACTCTGAAGGCTGAATAAAAAAAAGATCGTTTACAGACCCCCGAAACGCCGGCTTCGTGTGGATGAGAGGCTGGTTTGGTGAAAAATTTGTGCGTTTAGGCCAGGGTTCGTCTTCGTGTGGACGGGGCCTTAACCCACTGAGTGAGTTCTTCTGACGAAGAGGGCACCCCATGTGGTCCTTGAGGGCCCCTTGGTGCCCGCGGGCACCGCGTTGGTGACCCCTGATATGGATTAAGAAGATTGCAGCCATTTTTGTTTAGTTAGCTGAAGGTGGTATAGCAGATACAAAAGGTTAAAAAAAGAGAAACCCAGACACCTCTGTGGTGAGACTATTATTTGAGATTTTGAAGCATTTCCAGGTTAAAACTGACATCCAACCCCTCCAGCAAGTTGGAGGAATGCTCCAGGACTCTAGAAATGACCTAAATAGCCTCCAAAAGGACAATATTGAAAACTCAAACTAAAATCTAAAATTACTTATATCAATCCAAAGGGCCAGTGTCTGTAATCCACAACAGTAAATCCAACATAGAATAGTCCAGATCTTGAGCTATAAAAAGGCTGGGGTGAATTTAAAGGGGCTTAACATGCAAGAAACCTCTCAGCTTGAAGTGAGGAGTGGTGAAGCCATATATTGGTGTCAGAGATTATTGTCTCCAAGTAACATCTCACTGATGTTATGCTAACCAAATAGAGGTAAGAGTGGGGTGTCCTAATTTTTTTCCTTACCCATTGATAACTTTTATTTATCAAGTTTTTTTTTTTTTCAAAGTCCATCTCTTTGAGAAACACCTTGTAAAAGCAGCATTTTATGTTTTGCAAAGAAAAAAAAAGTCCTCTTAATCATTAAAAATAATAATTAAGCAGTTAAAGAGGCTGTGAAGGTTTGCAAACTACTGAACCTAACCAAGAACTTATCTAACAGTTCACATTGGGTCAGTATAGTCATTTTATTAAGTCCATAGGCCCAAATGCACAGATTTATTCAGGGGAATAACAGCAACAGAAGCAATTATGCAAGTTGCTTTGAGACGAGGACAGACTCTTTAATCACACGAAGAGGAAGCGTCTGACTGATGGCGAGTGACCTCCAACACTCAACTCTGGAATAGTTACAGACGCCTGAGAGAAAAATTTATCATAGTTATACTACTCCTTTAAATAAGAATATCAGTTTTAAATCCAGGAATTAATTATATGAATAAGCAAAATCTATTAAAAAAATTTAATTTCAACAATTTACATAATTGATTCTTATACAAGCATCTGAAAGTATGCTGTCAATCCAGCCTGGTTGTTTGGATTTATGGGCTGGCTTGCTGCTTGCCTGTTCTTGCTGTGCTCTACTCTGTTAATTAAAGTGAGCAGATGCACCTGCAACTCTCCCAATTACCCTCATTCTTCTCAGCTGTTAATTTGACTATTTATACCTGCCTCTATCAGCTTTTCAAAGGCATATTTTCACATCCTCCTTGCTTGCATGAGGTTCTGTTCAGTGTTAGTGTGCACCACCTGCCATTAAGGGTTTCTGTGCTCACCTTAGTGATGGAAATTTTCAAAGATCCGTGAACCAATGAACCAGTTTGATACAATTGGCTAAAACTCAACACCATGCTTGATGTATTTGATAATACGGGTAGATAGGCCTGGGAACTACATTTGAACACATTATTATAGGGCTGAACTAATCTGTTCATGACGATGATGATAATAAAAATAATTTTAAAAACAAATGTCTGACCTGCGAAATTGCAACATGATAAATAGCCCTTCTGATGCACCACAGCTATATGGCAGTGTGGTCCAGCAACTATTTTATCGAATTATAATGTGTGTCCTGGCTTTTCAAGCCCATGTTGATTACTTGCATGATCTCCAAACATGCATGACTTGCACTCAGGAAACTGTACCATCGATTCCAGTCCAGGTCCTCTATTGCAGGCATCCCCAGTCTCGGTCCTCGAGGCCCGCTGTCCTGCAGGTTTTAGAGGTTTCCCTGCTTTAGCACAGCTGATTATAATGATTGCAATAGACCAAGAGCCTGTTAATCCGCTTTCAATTAAAATCAGCCGTGCTGGAGCAAGGAAACCTCTAAAACCTGCAGGACAGCGGGCCTCGAGGACAGAGGTTGGGGATGCCTGCTCTATCGCGTACCTAATCATGTGTATATATTGTTTCTACTTTATTTAAATTAGGACACTTGTCGGCCCCGTGTAGCACAGTATTAGGATAGACTGCACCTACAACTAAATAAATACTTTCATAAAATAACCTTGAAATAGTAATTTCAATTATTCTAATCAGCTCTTCTGCCCAGTTATTTCCACAGGTTCTCCACATTCCTCCTGTGGTTCTGACTGATAAAGATTGTATTAAAAGAGAATTATCAGGAGCTAAATAGTGTTTATATAGTAGTTTATATATGGCACTGGCTTTCCTTCCATGTCCCTTCCTCTCTTTACTCACCCAGTTACACGCATTTCACTACTAGACATCTTTTTTCTTTATGAATAAACTAAACTAACCTGATCTTTAATTTATTTTGCTTTTAAACTAACCTATTCTAAGCTATATCATTTGGGGATCTAACTGATGAGATGTGTTTTGTGAATGAATATGTTATAAATGAATCATTGGATGAATGTAAGTATAGGTGTGTTTGTTTTTCTGAGTCTGTAATGTGTGTGTGTATCTGTCTATTTTTGTTCTATGTGTAATGTTAAAATAGACCTTAATTAGGGTGCCCAAACGTCCGTATTTCCCGGGACATATCCGTATTTCACGTCCTGTCCCGGGCGTCCCGGGTTTTTTTTTAGAAAGTGAGGAAATGTCCCTGATTTCACTGCGCACGACGCTCCGTGTGACGTAATCCCTGAGCCGCGTCAGTGCAGGCAGCCCTGTTCTTAATCAGAGGCTCTGTTCGAAAAAACCTGGGCTGCATCCTCCAAGGACGCGGTCTACCTAGACTGGATCCTTCGAAGTCCTTGAAAATAAGGAGGCCGGAAGAGTTTTGTCTGTAAATTCCAGGTCTACCCTTCGGCGGGTTTTACCGGCGTATGCTCTGTTGCTTAGCAACCGTGAAAGTTGACGCACAAAGCAGGAAAGGAATGAATACGAGGTTTTCAAAACTGTTTGTTTATTTATTTATTTTTAAAAAAGTTAAAGCGAACAAAGACTACATTA